AGCCTGAGGAAACTCCACAGAAGGAACAGGAGGAACTCCTTGAAAGGATCTGCCCAGGGTTGTCATTTTCATCTGTACCTGGGGGAAAAGACAAACCAACCCAGAACAGAGTGACTATAAGCAAACATGCCGCATAAGCATCAGCGAGGAAAAGGCCAGGTCTATATTAGAGGTTTTGCTGGCATGGTCTTGTTGGTTAGGGTGTGCTTTTGTCTTAATAATAAAATTATGTCAGTAAGAACCCTAGTGCGGATGCAGTTATACAGGCAAAACAGTTCTTTTGCTGGTATCATTCACTAGTTTCTCCAACAAACTAAGGTTATGTCTACACTTAAAATGTGACAATTGCACAGCTGCAGTTGTGCCACTTTATCACTTCAGTGCAGATACTTGCTACAGAAATAGGAGGGGTTCGCCAATCGCTGTGATCCATCCTCAGAGATGGAAGCTAGATCAAGGGAAGAATTCTTCTGTTGACCTAGTGGTGCCTACAACAGAGGTTTAAGTCTACTTAACTATGGTTACGTCTACACCACGCAGCTGTGCCGCTGCAGCCATGCCACTAAAAGAGGCACAGTGTAGCCACTGTTTGTCAGCAGGAGACAGCTCTCCTGCCGACAAAAATCTTCCACCCGCAATGAGCGGTGTTCGCATTGTCAGCAGGAGCAACAAAGCACTGTTCACACCAGTGCTTGTCCTAGACAAAACTTTTGTCTTTTGGGCAAGGGTTGTTGTGTTTGTTTGTTTGTTTTTTAAAACACCTCTGAAGGACAAAAGTTTTGTCTTTCAATTGCCAGCGTAGGCAAAGCCTAAGGGTATGTCTACATGGGCACTTCATCGGCAAAACTTTTGTAGTTCAGGGGTGTTAAAAAAAATACCCCCCCCCCCGAATGACAAAAGTTTTACCAATGAAAAGCGCGTGTGTGAACAGTGCTTTGTCAGCAGGAGCACTCTCCTGCCAACAGAGCTGCTGCCACTCGTGGGGGGTGGAAGTTTTCTGTCGGCAGGAAAACTCTCTCCTGCCAACCAACAGCAGCTGCGCTGCAGGGCGCTGAGGGGCACAGCGGCGTGGCTGAAAGCTGCCTAGCACGTCTTCGCTACTCCGCGTTAAAGCGCGGCCACCCCGGCGCTTCAAGGTGCCGTGTACCCGCGGCCCCGGCGTTGGGAGAAGCGCTCCCAGCCCTCAGCCCGCCCTGCCTCCCGGCGCGGGGAGCAGCCGCCAGCGCACTCTCCGCACGCCGCTTTACAGCGCTCGGGGGGAGCGCTCTCACCCCCGAGCGCGAAATTTTCAGCCCTATCACGCGGCAGCGCAGACCAGGCCGAATTCTCTCAGGCGCGGGGACTGCCCCTGCCCGGAGAGACGCAGCCCCGCGAGGTAACCGTCCACGCGGCGCGGCGCCGGTGGGGGCATCTTCCGCCGGCATAACGGAGCGGACCGCAGGGACCCCGCAGGAGGCGTCAAGCCAGCCGCGGGTTCCAGCGGTAACGGACCCCAGGCACACGCCGGCGCCCCCGGGCCGACCCCCGCGCCGCGGGGACAGACCGGGCGCCCTGGAGCGCGGCAGGCCGCCGCCGCCGCTCCAGGGCCCCGCGCCCCCTCAGAAGCACCCGCGGGACTAAAACAGCCCTTGAGGGAGGCCGCTCCCCGGGCCGCGCACCAACCTGCAGGCCGGCCCCGGGGCGGACCGGGCCCCTCAGCCGCGCTTCCTTCCAGGCCTTTCTCCGCGCCGGAGACGACGCGCAGCGGCCGCGGGACGCTGGGAGTCGTAGTTCCGGTGGGAGGGGTAAGGCCGAAGCTGGGGCATGCTGGGAGTTGTAGTTCCAGGGTCTGAATGCGCGCGCATGTGCATACTGGGGCATGCTGGGAGTTGTAGTTCTGGTGGGAGGGGTAAGGCCGAAGCTGGGGCATGCTGGGAGTCATAGTTCCGGTGGGAGGGGTAAGGCCGAAGCTGGGGCATGCTGGGACTGATAGCTCCAGGGTGTGTATGCGCACATGTGCATACTGGGGCATGCTGGGCGTTGTAGTTCTGGTGGGAGGGGTAAGGCCGAAGCTGGGGCATGCTGGGAGTTGTAGTTCCGGTGGGAGGGGTAAGGCCGAAGCTGGGGCATGCTGGGACTGATAGCTCCAGGGTGTGTATGCACACACATGTGCATACTGGGGCATGCTGGGAGTTGTAGTTCCAGTGGGAGGGGTAAGACCGAAGCTGGGGCATGCTGGGACTTATAGCTCCAGGGTGTGTATGCACACACATGTGCACACTGGGGCATGCTGGGAGTCATAGTTCCGGTGGGAGGGGTAAGGCCGAAGCTGGGGCATGCTGGGACTGATAGCTCCAGGGTGTGTATGCACACACATGTGTGCACTGGAGCATGCTGGGAGTCAGGGGGGCAGGAGGATTTATGGGCGCTACGCAGTGTTATTAAACTGGTGCCCCCATGCCCAATGGTAGCCTGGGCCCACAGCCTGGGGGAAGGGGAGGGATGAGGCAGCAAAGGATACCAAGCCGCCCGGCCCACCTCACGGTGGCGGAGAGTCACAGTTCCCCGTACCCTCTCCCTCACGCAGAATACACTACGCCGGTGCATTCAGCTCTGTGAATACGGCCCCTGCCTAAGGAGACTGCAGCGCGCTGGGTGTGCGGGAGCCGACGTTCTTACCTGCTGTCATAGGTGGTTGGTGACGCTGCCACTTGGCGAGACTAGTCCCCAGCCCACCTCTTCTGCCTGTGGCCCCGCCCCTACTCCACCCCTGCTGTGCCTCAGGCCCCGCCCCCAATCTGCCCAGACCCCGCCTTCTTCCCACTGTCTCCTTCCTTTCTTCCCTCTCCATCCCTGATCACCCCCTTCCAGCCAAATCCTTGAATCCAAATGAAGCAAATGACATTTGAAAAAAACACTCGTCTGCAATTTCTTTCTAAAGAAAATGGAGCATGCTCCCCACTGCATGCCAGAAGGTGAAGACTGGACATGCAGAGGGTACCTAATTAAAAGCACTAAACTTGGGAATAAAAAATGTCAGTCACAGGTTTTTTTATGTACCCTGAAGTTTGTACATTCACTCAAAATGTTCAGTCTCCAGTGACCTTCCTATATACATGACAAAATGGTAAAGGAAATACTGGTCTGTTGAGTGATGAATCTCACCATTCTCCAGCATGGCTAAGAAACCTCTCAGCAAAGTTGCTTGGGGACAATAAAATAAATAGCTAAATATATTCCTTATTATTTTGAGCTTTTATCCCATACTTTGTAAGCTTCCAGTATTTACAGAAGCTGACAGTAATTAATTCTCCTCCCTCAGAGCTGGTGCCATGCATTAGTTCAGATCTGGGTCAGTTGTTCTGGGCAGTGTGTTAAATCCTAGTCAGATGAGAAGCTCAGTGCTTCCTACTTGTGCCTGAAGGGCCAGCAGATTAAAGAGTTGTGTTTAGGGACAAGGTCTTCTGGTTTCACACACTGTTTAATTTTATTAACTCCACTCTTCAATCTATAATCAATGGAATGCAGTAAGCAAACTATTACAGGATCATGGACAGTGGGAAACTTGACAGCAAATCACAAGGTAATTGTCCTTTTGCTTTCTTTACTGGCCAAAATATTGCCCATAACTAAAAGACAGCTAATGTGCATGTTTCCCTGAGTGACTGAAATGAAGGGATTTTTCACAGTTTAATGTCAAAAGGTTTATTGAGAGAGCTCTTCAAACTGTGACTTTATGAGAGAGTTGAATATTTCTGTCACAAAAAAACTCTTCCAAAGGGAAGAAGCTGGAGTGCCAGAGCTGGAATAAAGAATCTCAATTTTCTTACATTAGTACTAATAGCAAATAATAATAATAATAATTAATAATAACTTCAATGTATATGGCATCTCTCATTCTTGTACTGTAGCTTGTTAAAGTTTGCAAGGGAAATCTAATCCAGCCTAATAGTAAGAATGGAGTGCCAGCTTCTGCTGAAAGGTCCTAGAAGCCCCAGCAAGGTAAGCAGAATTATCCTTACCAGTAAAGATGCCTGCGGGGTATGGAGTTTTGTAACTTTACCAATGATTTTCAAATGAAACTTTCTCCAGTTATTTTGTGCTGTACCTTTAAATCAGAATCTCTCAAAGGAAATAATTAGGTTTATAAGGAAATGGATTTGAGACTTTTCTCGCACATAAAGGGAGGTTGCCATGGAACTTTTCCAGAACCTTTCCTTAGCCCCACCATGAAGTTAAATGGAACAGCCTTTTGATTAGTGTCATGTTTCTAAATGGATGTAATAATGTCACAAAATGTCATGGCTGGGCAGCTCACCCAGCAAGTACAGATATGGTTCCAACTTTGAAGAACATAGTTCTAAACAACATGACATAGCAAGTGAGAATGACAAACAGACAGAGATGGGCAGAAGTGGGAAAGGAAGGACAATAATCAGATCACACAGTTACTTAGTATGACATGTGTGTATCTTAATGATTTTGTTACTTTTTTTTAAAGTATGGAGCCCTGCACTCATGTGGTGTTTAACCTTGCCTCCAATACCAGATGTTCCCTGAGGGATCTTTTCAGAAAGAAAAATCAGAACTGAAATAGGAGTCTCAGTGCAGATCATAAGAAGGATTCAACCCAAAATGTAACAGTTTTAGTTCAAATTAAATAAGGCAATGAATATGCTTCCATAACAATAAAATAATAATTCTTATCAGTTTGTCTGTAGAGTTTAAAGTACACAAAAGGTTAAAATCCCTGTTTTACATATGGTAAACTGAGGCACGGGGAGGTTTAAATGGCTTACTCAGGTCACACAAGGAGTCAGTACCAGAGTTGGGAATAGAACCTATGAGTTCTGTCTCCTATTTCCATACCAGACCTGTTGAACTGCACTGTTCCTCAATGATGCTGCATTTGTGGATAGCTTGGTCTGCATAACTATTATTATTTGTTGTTTATTCAGCATCAACTATTCAGTACTTAATTTCTTTGTGTCCATATGCTGTAGGTCCAGAACAGTGACCCTATGGCTGTGGTAGGTGCTAACAGAAACCTTTTTGCCTTAGAGTGAATACAGCGTTGTTAGCATTGTAAAGACTTGTTGTGCTCATAAGAAGAATGTGGGGACATTTCTAAGAGTAGAAGCCAATAATGAGTTAATTCCATCAAGTGATTAATTATAAAAATAATAATTCTGTACAATTACAAGTAAGAAATCATGAGACAAGAGCAACAGTTGGTGGTTGTTGTCTGATTTGCCTGCAGCACTGTGCGAGTCACACGGAGGTAACACGTAACTGTTGAAAGTGGGGGAAGGGGCACAATTTGAAGGTTTGGCCACCCTCCTGAAAAGCTCACCTCACCGCCCCCATGGGCAGGCCCTTCCCCTTCCCCTCAATTTTCCCTCCCTGAAAGCAGCAGTCCTTCCCTGCAGCACCCAGCTGTTGCTCCTGCCTCTCACCCGGCCTCCGAGATTACTTTATTGGCTCAGCTCCACCAGCTGCCATGTGGGCCCGGTGGCACCATGTGACCAGCTCTGAGTCAACAGAAAACCCGGGAGCCCCTGGAGGCTGGGTGATTTCCAGCCTGGCTTCCAAAGTCCCCCTGGCTGGGGCTCCTGTGCATTAGCCACCCCATGGCCCTGTTTATATCCCCTTTGTGAGTCCTGAACAAACACCAGGGCAGGTGCCTGGCCCCATGGGTTGGCAGTGATCCCATGGTGGGCCCAACCCTGCAAGCCTTGGGCAAGTGCGGAATTTGCCCCACACGCATGGGCCCCATTGTCGCTCGTGGGTCAGCACCAGCATGAGCTGAGGCTGCAAAGGGGGAGGACAAAAGGGGAGCAGCTTGCGATTGCTGGCATCTCTGCTTTGAAATAAACTACTGTGCACTCATGTTTTTAATCCCCTCCCTGCAAAAAAAGAAATAAAAATATAAACCCTGGCAGAAATCTGGGGGGTGGCATGTGGCCCTGTGTGTCCACCCCCACACATCACGTCTGGATATGGGCCATAGTGGGCAACCACCCTGTCTTCAGCACTCTTACTTGCTATTAGTAATGACCTTTTTTCCAGCTGTGAAAAGAGAAGAGCAAGAGGCAACAGAACAATTCTGCATATGGTCAAAGGAAGGCACAGTTCTAAAACCACTGCTTCTCATTAACAATAAAAGTATAGAAACACCCTGCAATGCCTGGTGAGAATCTGTTTGCACAGAACTGCCTCCTGGTTCACAGTGACAGAACAGGGGCCTTATTTCTGCCTCTGCATTTCAGTGCAAGAGAAAATCCTCTGGACCATGGGTTGATCTTTCATGGCTCTATGCCCCCTTGTTGGTTTTTAGTATATATAGTTAATGTTAATCCGTTAATAGTTTAAAAGCCATTCATCTCCATTAGATATGTTAGAACCTATGTCGCTAGACATGCCTTTGTGAGAACCCAGGCGTTGTATCAGCTTAGGCAGTCACATGCCCTCAAAGTACCAAGCAAAGCTGCTGTTCTGTTTCCTGGACTCCAGCTTGCAACTTAGGAGATGTGTGCAACTGTTTGGTGTTACTGAAAGGCAGCGTGTGTTACCATCTCTGCTCCAGTTTCACTGAAGCTGTTCCTGCATTGTCCTTAACATCACACGGAGATCAGAGTAGCAGCCATGTTAGTCTGTATTCGCAAAAAGAAAAGGAGGACTTGTGGCACCTTAGAGACTAACCAATTTATTTGAGCATAAGCTTTCGTGAGCTACAGCTACAGGTCACAAAAGCTTAGTCTCTAAGGTGCCATAAGTCCTCCTTTTCTGTTTCCTAATAGTCTAGGCTCCATCATGTCTCATGCCCTGGTTACTCTTTGTTTCTTTCTACAGCTGCCCAGCTGGACACTGTTTCTGGCTGTTTGTGCTGTCGGAATTGGAGGGACATTTCAATATGGATATAATGTTTCCATTATCAATGCACCCACTGTGGTAAGGCACCACCTTTATTGTTCCCATTCTTGTGCATTTTGGGCCCCGTTCTGTTCCACTGATGTCAATGGCAAAACTCACATTGACTTCAGTGGGAGCAGGAGACCTTTCATCTGTAGGATTCTGGATGACTCTCTGAGTTTCCAAGCGAGTTTCCAGTGAGTTTGTGTTTCAGTTACATATAACATTGATTTGGTCCATGTCTGTTCAATTCAGCAGAGAGTGCCAACTGACAAGTTATCAGAGGGACATAATCCTCCTTGGAGGACTCAAGGGAAGGACCTAGATGATAAAATAAATCTTTTCACCCTTTAACTTCTGTGGCTGGCTTAGCACAAAGTGTTACGGGCAGGATCATGGCAGCTGATAGAAAAAGACATTTTTAGGGGGGGTCAAGAAATTTTGCGTTTCTTTCTACCTGAAAATGTCCCTCAAAAGCTGTCACCCAACTTTTAGCTTCTGCGCCTGCTCTTAGTGGTCTTGAGTGTCCTGCATATTTACAGTAGAGGACCCAGAGAGAATTGGGGTAGAATGGCCCTGTGAAAAAGATGGGTGTGCATTTCTGCTAACAGCAGACTGATTTGCCAATTAAACTTGCAGCTTTCCTTTGTTACAACATTTAATGCTCTTAGTATGGTTAAAATATACTAACCATGAACAGATAAGTTGTATGCTGGAAAGAGAGCAGGGGGTGAGAAAATAGTGCTGTTTGTCTGCTCTTTGGATTTTTTGCTGACCAGAAAGTATGATGCACGCTGATTCCAGAGACTCTGAAAGTGAAATCTGCAGTCATTTCACAGTGTTAGGTGCTGACTTCCCCTCTACCTGGGGGTGCTTGGACCCCCTCCCTCCCTCCATCCCAGACCCTGACCCCACCCCCCTCTTCCCACCCTTGCTCTGCCCCCACTCCACCCTTTCCCCCAAGGCCACACCCCCATCTGCCTCTTCCCGCCCCCTCCCCCCAGAGCACACCCTGTCCCCACTCTTCCCCCTCCTTCCCAGCGCCTCCTGCACGCCACAGAACAGCTGATCTACAGCAGGCGGGATGGAAGAGAGGGGGGAAACTTGATCAGCAGGGCTGCCGGCAGGGGGGGAGGTGCTGGCTACTGGGAGGTGGGAAGCACCCGCTAATTTTTTTCTGTATGTGCTCCAGCCCTGCAGCACCCACAGAGTCGATGCCTATGATTTGGGGCATCTAGGATTTTTATTTGGACTGAGACATGGATAGTGGTAAAATGCTATAAGCCACTAAAAACAGGGACTTAGAATGAAATTTCCATTGGATTCACTCAGTGGGTGTGTAGGTTAACAGTTTACAAATAAATGAAAGGTGTATGTCCCAAGGAAGGAGGAAGAATACTTAGGGTGGCTTAAGACAGCATTACTATGAGTCCTGGGATCAAATTAAGAAAAAGAAAATTTAGGCTGATTATCAGGATCAATTTCCTAACAGTGAGATTATTGAGTTGTGGAAGAGTCACCCCTGGGAAGGGACTTTCAAAACTAAACTGGCTAAAAGACTAAAAAGGGAACAAGCCTGCATTGGCTTCTTGGGAGATGAACTGTATGTGACCTAATAGGTCTTTTCCACCTTAGCTACCGTCAGTCCAACTAGTCTGGAGCTTCTTGACAGACTCAGTTAATAAAAACCCACGAGTAACTTTCCAAGACTAATATAACATCTCTTGTCTGAGTAGCGCAGAAATCCTTTCTTACTCTGAGATCTACATTAAGGGGGGGATTTTGAAAAGAGCACAAGTGATTTAGGAGCATGAATCCCATTAAGAGTCACACCCACCCAGCCACACCCCTTCATTCAGAAAGACGTGAAAGCTCTTTATTAACTTTACATGGAAGGATCATTCATCCATTACTTAAAGGCAGTCGCCCCTGAGATAAAGCATGACAGCAACACTGCACACAACAGTCTTTTTGAAGTAGGGAAACTATGTTTTGGCTGTATGAGTGAGTCAGGATTCTGCTAATTTGCAACTAGTTAGTAGCATTTTTGTGTAACACAGCTCTTCCGGGAATGGCTGATATTCAGTAAGATGTTTCCCCTTACACATGTTGGCTCTGAGGATGGGATCTCAAGCATTTGGGCTAAGTGATCAATTGTTTATTGAGATGCAAGTTGATTCACCACTCTGTATTTTCAGCACATCCACAAATTCCTAAATGAAACTTGGAGCAGTCGCTATCAGACAGAACTGAATCCAAGCTTGCTGACTCTCCTCTGGTCTGTCATTGCTTCCATATTTTCCCTTGGAGGTCTGTGTGGAGCTCACATTGGAGGCAGCGTGGCGATTAGACTAGGCAGGTGAGTTAAGCACATCAATGGAAGGTTTGGCAGCAAATCCTGTTTTCTTTTCCTTTTTGCACCTGGAAAGTGATAAAATCAAATAGAGAAAGAGCTCAGAAGGAAACATGCTTTATCCAGAAGACTCTTCCAGTTATTTAACTAGAAACAGAAATCAGTATTAGCTAATAAGGAATGGGAACTTCTACAGTATCCCTGGGACATGATCTCCAGGCTGGCCTCCAGTCACATGAACTTGGAAGAAGAGCCCTGAATTACAACCCGCCAGTCCAGTTCTTCTGATCAAACCCTTCTTTGTCAATATCAAATCAGGTCCCTTTATATTTAAGCATATGTGCACTCCATGCAGCATAAAACACATACAGTCATAGAGAAGATAGACATTGTAGGTGTGCGTATACACACCCTGTATAGATATACAACCTGCACACTAGTATACACATGCTGCCAGGGTTGGCCCTAGGTGTCCTGATGGCCAGGGTGGAAAACACCCTCTCCCCCTCCCGCCCCCCACATACATAGAATCATAGAATCATAGAATATCAGGGTTGGAAGGGACCTCAAGAGGTCATCTAGTCCAACCCCCTGCTCAAAGCAGGACCAATCCCCAATTAAATCATCCCAGCCAGGGCTTTGTCAAGCCTGACCTTAAAAACTTCTAAGGAAGGAGATTCTACCACCTCCCTAGGTAACGCATTCCAGTGTTTCACCACCCTCCTAGTGAAAAAGTTTTTCCTAATATCCAACCTAAACCTCCCCCACTGCAACTTGAGACCATTACTCCTTGTCCTGTCCTCTTCTACCACTGAGAATAGTCTAGAACCATCCTCTCTGGAACCACCTCTCAGGTAGTTGAAAGCAGCTATCAAATCCCCCCCTCATTCTTCTCTTCTGCAGACTAAACAATCCCAGTTCCCTCAGCCTCTCCTCATAAGTCATGTGTTCCAGTCCCCTAATCATTTTTGTTGCCCTTCGCTGGACTCTTTCCAATTTATCCACATCCTTCTTGTAGTGTGGGGCCCAAAACTGGACACAGTACTCCAGATGAGGCCTCACCAATATCGAATAGAGGGGGACGATCACGTCCCTCGATCTGCTCGCTGTGCCCCTACTTATACATCTCAAAATGCCATTGGCCTTCTTGGCAACAAGGGCACACTGCTGACTCATATCCAGCTTCTCGTCCACTGTCACCCCTAGGTCCTTTTCCGCAGAACTGCTGCCTAGCCATTCGGTCCCTAGTCTGTAGCTGTGCATTGGGTTCTTCCATCCTAAGTGCAGGACCCTGCACTTATCCTTATTGAACCTCATCAGATTTCTTTTGGCCCAATCCTCCAATTTGTCTAGGTCCTTCTGTATCCTATCCCTCCCCTCCAGCGTATCTACCACTCCTCCCAGTTTAGTATCATCCGCAAATTTGCTGAGAGTGCAATCCACACCATCCTCCAGATCATTTATGAAGATATTGAACAAAACCGGCCCCAGGACCGACCCCTGGGGCACTCCACTTGACACCGGCTGCCAACTAGACATGGAGCCATTGATCACTACCCGTTGAGCCCGACTATCTAGCCAATTTTCTACCCACCTTATAGTGCATTCATCCAGCCCATACTTCTTTAACTTGCTGACAAAAATACTGTGGGAGACGGTGTCAAAAGCTTTGCTAAAGTCAAGAAACAATACATCCACTGCTTTCCCTTCATCCACAGAACCAGTAATCTCATCACAGAAGGCGATTAGATTAGTCAGGCATGACCTTCCCTTGGTGAATCCATGCTGACTGTTCCTGATCACTTTCCTCTCATGTAAGTGCTTCAGGATTGATTCTTTGAGGACCTGCTCCATAATTTTTCCGGGGACTGAGGTGAGGCTGACTGGCCTGTAGTTCCCAGGATCCTCCATCTTCCCTTTTTTAAAGATTGGCACCACATTAGCCTTTTTCCAGTCATCCAGGACTTCCCCCGTTCGCCATGAGTTTTCAAAGATAATGGCCAATGGCTCTGCAATCACAGCCGCCAATTCCTTTAGCACTCTCGGATGCAACTTGTCCGGCCCCATGGACTTGTGCACGTCCAGCTTTTCTAAATAGTCCCTAACCACCTCTTTCTCCACAGAGGGCTGGCCATCTATTCCCCATGTTGTGATGCCCAGCGCAGCAGTCTGGGAGCTGACCTTGTTCATGAAGACAGAGGCAAAAAAAGCATTGAGTACATTAGCTTTTTCCACATCCTCTGTCACTAGGTTGCCTCCCTCATTCATTAAGGGGCCCACACTTTCCTTGGCTTTCTTCTTGTTGCTAACATACCTGAAGAAACCCTTCTTGTTACTCTTGACATCTCTCGCTAGCTGCAGCTCCAGGTGCGATTTGGCCCTCCTGATTTCATTCCTACATGCCCGAGCAATATTTTTATACTCTTCCCTGGTCATATGTCCAACCTTCCACTTCTTGTAAGCTTCTTTTTTATGTTTAAGATCCGCTAGGATTTCACCGTTAAGCCAAGCTGGTCGCCTGCCATATTTACTATTCTTTCAACACATCGGGATGGTTTGTCCCTGTAACCTCAACAGGGATTCCTTGAAATACAGCCAGCTCTCCTGGACTCCTTTCCCCTTCATGTTAGTCCCCCAGGGGATCCTACCCATCCTTTCCCTGAGGGAGTCGAAGTCTGCTTTCCTGAAGTCCAGGGTCCGTATCCTGCTGCTTACCTTTCTTCCCTGCATCAGGATCCTGAACTCAACCAACTCATGGTCACTGCCTCCCAGATTCCCATCCACTTTTGCTTCCCCCACTAATTCTTCCCGGTTTGTGAGCAGCAGGTCAAGAAAAGCTCCCCCCCTAGTTGGCTCCTCTAGCACTTGCCCCAGGAAATTGTCCCCTACACTTTCCAAAAACTTCCTGGATTGTCTATGCACCGCTGTATTGCTCTCCCAGCAGATATCAGGAAAATTAAAGTCACCCATGAGAACCAGGGCGTGCGATCTAGTAGCTTCTGCGAGCTGCTGGAAGAAAGCCTCATCTACCTCATCCCCCTGGTCTGGTGGTCTATAGCAGACTCCCACCACTACATCACTCTTGTCCTGCCTGTCTGAGGAGGGAAAAAAGGAGTAGGACAACAGGGATGTGGTGCCCAGGATGGCTGGCAAGCTTTATTTGTGTTGGGTTTTTCAAAGCAGCAGCTGACGCAGCACGCACCAGAGCAAGGAACAGTGCCCCATGTTCTGAGAAAGGAGTCTTCTGTGAACATGACTGGGCGAAGGCTGGTGGAGGACTGGGACCAGGACCTAGAGTCCAGCCTCTTAATAAATAACAGTGGAACACAGGCTGCCACAATCCCTCCTGCCCCACAACAGCACATGGCCCAGCCCCACCCCACTGGCATCCCCACTCCATTCCCTCCCAGTCCACTGCAGTCCCAGAGCCGTGCTTTCCGCCCAGACCCTAACTCACAGGGGCATTTTGCGCCACACTCCTGATGAGCTCACTTTGCACAGGGAGAGCTGGGGAATAGGGGCAGAACAGTGTGTGGAAGGGAATGCAGGAACTCTGATTTCCCAGTGTGGTCAACTCAAAGGAGTTGCTGGTGGGAGCCAGACCCACTAAATGAGAGCAGCTGGAGTTGACTTTCAGATACCTCTCTCCCAGGGCTAGGCAGGGGCTGGAACCAGGCCCAGTTTGGAGGTTCTGCATCATCTGCTCCCTTCTCTCCCATCCCCAGGGATTTGGTGCTCCCTGAATGTTGGTGCTCCCTGAATGTTGTATTAACCAAAGGTGCTAACATAACCCAGTCACTGTCCAACACTAAACAGTGTTAAACAAGGTCCAGGAGTGGTATAGAGAGACCTCAGTCTGCTTAGTACAATGGCAAACGTACCATTAAAAATCCCTTTAATCTTTTATTAAAGATACAGAAAAAAAGGAAAAACAGTTAAAACATTTGAAATGTAAAGTATTAAGTAAGGGTTTCATTTTAACAACATCTCTTGTCCCTTTCCATTTAGCTGGAGACAGTTTTAGAAGGGAAAAACCCTTGTCTAACAGTGTCTTAGATGGTATCAAAGACAGTGATACCTGTCCTTTGGGGAAAGAGAAGAGGTTAGTTGATATGGGCTGGAGCTGCTGTTAAAGTGTGATTCTGTCTCATCTCAGTGGGTGCTGGGATTCAGCTGGAGCTGGTAGCAGTGGCGATGTGAACTGGGTCCCTCTCTCTGGTCAGGGCATCCCTCAAGATTAGCATGAAGAAGGTCTGCTGCCAGGAGATGGTGGGGGTGGCAGCAATGATGGGAAACTCTATCCAGTAGCCTCCATCTGTTCTTCCTTATTTTCCCCACAAAGTCTCTCTCTTTAAGGACCCAAAAAGGACTGATGGGTGCAACAGCCCCTTCCCTTATCTTTTTTACACCAATTAGGCCTAAAATCCAACATACCAGTTTTGGTTAATTGATTTTCAGTTCCATGTCTTCAGTTTTTGCCAAGCATGATTTCAGCATAGTCCTTAAACCATATCAGTAGGCCTTTCTGTTTAGACTAATTGAGTTTTTCTGTCTGCTTTTTGTACCTTTTCCCACCGTTTGTTATTATAGGGTATTTTGACATCTTATGAACTTTTACATATTTTTGTAGTTGAGCTCACAATTAGAGAGTAAATGTATAGCCCCAGTTATCACAACACTGCCCAGGGCGGCCACGCTGATCACCTGTCCTTTGAGCCAGTCCTGCATGCTGCAAAGAATTCATATACTTTACAGGTATTCCATAAGCACCTTGCATGCAAATAAAGAAACATACTCCATGTGCATGAGTGAGATCACATACACACACATTATTAGGCATGTCTGTTGTTAAATATAAAGTAGGCAGGCAACAGGTCTCCCAATTTCCAGTGAGTACTGTATTGTTGAAATGCAAAGCCTTTTCTCGGTACTATTGTAAGGCATTTTTCTTATAACAGTATGTTTCTGTGACCTTTGTTATTTTTACTTTTAGAAAAGGAGCTCTTCTGGTGAACAATTTCATAGCGATACTGGCCTCCATTTTAATGGGGATCAGTTTTCCAACAGGATTGTTTGAGTTATTGATGGTTGGCAGGTTTTTGATTGGCGTAAACACAGGTAAATGCATTTCTCTTCTTCTTGCCTTTAATAAATTATGGTGAATGGTATTAGAACATATAATTATAATTATTATTAATGATAATCCTTTAGATACTGTTGTAAATTTACATGTTGCTTTACAGACTTGGAGACAGGGATGTTCCCCTACAATTGTAATGTAAATGCTACTAAATTAAAACAATATAGAATATCACTACTACAATCTTGTTTCTAGTCTTCTAGACTTTTTGCCCAGTAATCCCTTTTCTATTAAAATCCAGTGCCTAGCACAACCCTACTGCTATGGAATTGGCCTGGGTGTAATATGAACTCATTATACTGGAAATAATGGCAAAGAGAACTGTGTCAGATGGACAATATCCTGGACAAACCTTGTGGATTTAAGATAAGTTAAACCTTACTAAATTAAATCTAATTCAGTAAGGTTTAACTTAACACCTTTGGGGTCCACTGTATTAAAAATGCATGTTGTGTATGGAACTGTATGTAACTCCTCTAGGTGGAGGGGGTGCCAGTGTAATTCCTTTGGCCTCTTTGAAGCCACTTCCTGGAGAGGTTTGCACGTACTACTTCAAACTGGATTCTCCAGGGACCAACAAAGAAAGAAACGGTTTTTGGATAAATATCCTGGTTTTAAACAGGCTCAGGGCTTTCTTCCTGATCTAGCAAATGCATAGGACTCCTGGTCCCTGGATGGCCCCAATACTTACAGAAGAGTTGGAAGGACTGGTCTACTGAGACCCTGTAAAACTCAGTGCTTGTTTTGAACCGAAGTTGGGATAAACCTGGAATCACAAGGAAACCCCTTGGCTAGGGTGTTGAAGAACTTCTTCTGCCAGAGCCCATGTTAGGGTTGGGGTGATCTCAAGTAAGCTTATTAGCATGCATGTAGGTTCGTTTATAGTTTTTAAAAAGTTTTCTCTGTAGTCCTTTTACCTTAAGAATAAAAAAGGCTTGTGTATCGAAGAGCTGTGTGATAACTCTAACTGGGCAGTCACACTATTCTCCATCTCTGAAGAGAAAGCAAGCAGGCCTGGTGGAGCAGTCTGTCTCTGCTGGGAATAACACAGTGCAGGCAAGGAACTGGTCAGCCTGGAGACATCCCAGTTAGAAAGGAGAGAGGCTGTTTCCACCCAAGAGAGGTGGCAGCCAGGTGAGCCAGTAGCCAGAGAGTGGGAGCCATTGCTGAACCACAGAGGGGAAATATGGGTGCAGTTGCCCTGGACTGTGACAAGAAACACTTCTGTTCTGACGTACAGGGAGTGATGATTTAAACAATAGTATTGGCAATGGGATCCCTAGCTCAAAAAAAAAAAAAAAAAAAAATCAGCAACAGATTGTGAGGAGAAAGGGAAGATGTAAGGGTGGCTGAGAAAGGAATAGAACAGGCTGGGTAGATTCTCGCAGCAGTAGCATAGAGGCAGAAGAACAAGGAGAAGAAAAACTCAGACAAGATCAGGGCAAGACACTTGTGTCAGGAAATAGTGTGAGAGTTAAGGGGCTAATCTACACTACTGTGCAACATCAGTGCAGCTGCACCAATGCAGCTGTGCCTCTGTAGCACGTCAGGTAAAGACATGCTATGCTGATGGGGGAGTGCTCTCCTGTTGGCATAATTACGCCACCTCAACGAGAGGCGGAAGCTATGTGGATGGGAGAGCGTTTCCTGCCAACATAGTGCGGTGTGGACAGCGCTTAAATTGATGTCAGTTACAGTGCTTGGGGGGGTGTGTGTGTCATTTTCACACCCCTGAGCGATGTAACTTACATCAACCTAAGATGTAGTATGCATCTGATGAAGAGAGCTGTAGCTCATGAAAGCTTATGCTCAAACAAATTTGTTAGTCTCTAAGGTGCCACAAGTCCTCCTTTTCTTTTTGCAAATACAGACTAACACGGCTGCTACTCTGAAACCTAAGTTGTAGTGTAGACAAGCCCAAGGTGAGGTGATATCTAATAAAAGATTCACCCACCTTGTCTCTCTCATATCCTGGAACCGACACAGTTACAACAACACTACAAACAGGAAACAGTGTGACAGGCAAAATACCTCATCATATGTTGCAGTCTACTGCGGAAGACATGTCATGGTAGCACAAAGAAAAGGAGTACTTGTGGCACCTTAGAGACTAACCAATTTATTTGAGCATAAGCTTTTGTGAGCTACAGCTCACTAAGTCATCCTAGGGATCATGGGACACTCCCGCTAATGTGTGTTCCATGACTCACTGTCTTGGCAGCAAAGAATTTGGTCCCACATATTCAACAGTAAAATAGGTCAGAATGCTTTAAGTGATTCACAGGCCCTTCAAAGTTTTAGGGATAACTAAAATGGGCAATTACAAAGTGTCAAGAAGCCAGCACAAGCTAATGTTCTGCTAAGGGGGTGTCAAAGCTGAACACATTCCCCTGATACTCACTGCCTAGTAGAACATGATAACAGGACAAAGTGCCTTGGACACAGGTCCATACAGAATGTCATTTACCAAGTCAAAAGCTAATAAGGTTTAATTTATAACAGGAAAATGTTTCCTCTTCTATCTATAGGTATTGGCATCTGTGTGCAACCTCTCTATATAGGGGAGGTTGCCCCAAAACATCTCCGAGGTGCTATGGCCATGGGCAGTTCCATATTTTTGACTGGAGGAATTCTGACAGGACAAATAATTGGTCTAAGGTTAGAAATATAGTCCTTTAGTGCCTTGAAATTACCAACTTCTAAAAGGTAACCAAACTCAGTAGTCACCTGCATTAGTCACCCAGCTTCTTCCAGTGGCTGTCTCTGTAGGGGGAAAGGGATAAAATCCCTCCCATACTCACATTGATCAGCTAACTGCTAGGTGACTTACATCATGTATCCATCCAGCTGTAGAGTATCCATGTGGAATCATTCTCTCTTTATCTGAGTCAGCCATAGCGACAGCTGTAAATTAGATACATTTATATGCTGAGATGATATTTCTGCAAGTGTCTAGCTGGAGCTTTAGCGCAAAACAATACAAGTGAGCTGAAACATGCAATTTAAAAGGGTGGGACTGATAGTAAAGGAATATTTGTTTATATGACATCCTGATAGAACCAGCAGGACCTGCATGTTAGAACATAAGAGCGGCCATACTGGGTCAGACCAAAGGTCCATCTAGCCCGGTATCCTGTCTTCCTACAGTGGCCAATGCCAGATGCCCCAAAGGGAATGAACAGAACAGGTAATCATCAAGTGATCTATCCCTTGTCACCCATTCCCAACTTCTGACAAACAGAGCGTAGGGACACAGAACCTGATCTGAGGATAATAAAATTAAAAATTTATTTCATTAAGTTTACCAAAGGCTTCCAGCAGTCATATCAGCCTCTGCTGGATCCGGTACTCTGCATAATAGCACAATGTCTGCTGCTTCTCCCTTCTAGTACCCAGAACCTTCTGAAGTCTCCTTTCCTTTACCTTATCCCCAACTCTTGACCTCCTCTTCCCCCACTGACCACTGTAGGTATGAAGTGCCATCAGTGCTTTCCTATACCAATACTACACAGTTAAAAGAATCACAAGGGTAAGGGGGCCACTTTTAAGAATTTGTCCTTCTAGCTTAGTCTGTTAACATTTTTAAAGCAGCTATTAATATTTTAAATCCCATTGCATTTTTAACAAGTTTACATTGCCCAAAATACATCATGATGCAGGTCCCAGGCATAAGCTGAATGAATTCCTCATGTTTTTACTTGTTCTAAATTTAATTTCACATTATTGGCAGGTCCTGGCTTGGCAGGTCCTGGAGGCTGAGGTCCTTAGAAACAGTGCAACATAGACAACAGCAGGGCAAGTTTCCCCTGTTGATGTGTCCCAACGCTTAGTGGGTAGTACCTAGTTTAGGGGTGAAGAGGTAGTTAATTCTCCCTATGCCATTAATTCTCTTGCCTCTCTGTTGACACTGACAAGAAATGGGTGACTTTTGAAACAGGGAGACCTTTCACCTAGGAACTAGACTATTTTTGATAGGATCAGCATCTCATTTCTAGCAGAGCACTGAAAGGCCACTAGCAGATACTTACTTTTCTTTTTGTTTTTCACTCAGGGAATTACTTGGTGGAGAAAAATATTGGCCTTTCTTGCTCTCCAGCAGCTGTTTCCCAGCATTAGCCCAACTATTCTTTCTCCCTTGGTTTCCTGAAAGTCCCAGGTATCTTCTTATTGACAGAGGGGATGAGACAAAATGCACCAAGGGTAAGTTACAGCACTTATTCTCTCCTCCTGTCCCTAGGAAACCACAAGATTAACATAGATCGCGCCTCTCTCTTCTCTTCATCTCCCCTGTACAAGTCCCATCTCCCTTCCTTCTCTCAAGAGAATCCTAAAACCCGATAGCTCATGTTCCTTTCCCAGCAGGCTCACAGCCTTGACACTGCTGGCTCACCTGACCTCATCTACCTGCTCAAATCCCCCTGGCTATAGGTCATTTCCCTCTGAGCTCCGTGCTAGTTTCTTTGGGCCTATATCCTGACCACTGTCCCTTGCAGGAGGGGTTGGGCACTGCCTGGGCGAGGGGTTGAGCATTGCCGTGGCAAGGAACTGGCAGGAAGGAACTGGCAGGAAGGAGAGGCAGGAGGTGTCTGTCGGACAGGCCATCAAAAGAAATGGGTTCATGGCAGGACCGGTGTTGCCAACTCTTCCAGGTGGGAATTGGCTGGAGCCTGTCTGTGATGATCTGAGAAGCAATCCTTTGCATTTCACCTGGCCTGGGGGAAAATCCGTTTGATTGTCTGTCTGTCTGTCTTCCCCGCCTGCCTGCCTCCTGGGGAGGAGCAGCCAATCAGAGCTGCTGCAGGAAGCAGGCAGAGCTCTCCCCTTGCCTCAGGAGCCCAGAAGACATTTTGGGTTAGGGGAGGGAGCAACTTATGCCATTACCACTTGAGGGGAGGGAGGAGCAGAAAGAGCTAAGCAGTTCACAACAGCTCCGCTTTCTCCTCCTCTCTCTCCCACTGTGAATAATGAGTCACTCTGCTCCCTGTTCCTCTCCCTCCCATCCTGGAGAGAGGGTAAAGGACCTCTCGAGCTGCCCCGTTAGGCCTGGATAGGGGGAGAAGAGGACCATACCCCAGCTGCCAACCCCTCTCCTGAGAGACGGGAGTGAAGAACTGCAAGAGCTGCAGGAGGAGAAGAGGTGGGAGGGTGAATAATTGCAGGCTGGGGTAAGTGGGCAGATGTATAGATCACAGAATTAATTAATTTGAATGTTTGGGTTTAGGAAGAATTTGGATCTCTGTGCCATCAGGCTGCCAGTGAGAGCTCTTGCAGCAGGTGACAAAATCACCATATTCAATTATTTGGGGAGTTGGCACACCCACATAATGGGGGTGAGCATGGGGAATTAGAAATTCAAAAGACAGACCACAACCCACAATATATACTTCAAAGTCTTATGATTTTGGGCTAGTCTAATGGTTTTTAAATTTTTGGGGTTGGTAGTACTTCAAGAACACTCAGGATTTACTGCAAGCATGATCGCCAATATGGCCTGTTACTTCCTATTCAGCCAAATGTGGATCTTTATAAACTTTAAGAAATGGTCATTCCACAAACCAAAAAAAAACCATGGGGGGGCTTGTCTATTGCTATAAGAGTTAATATGGGGGAAATTAATTCTTGAGAGCTGGTTGCTTCTTTTGGCCATCCCAAGAAAAGAAAAGGAATGTGATAGCGGGTTGAAGCAAAGCCTCCAGTTTTAAACTGTTTGGATGTTTATCATCTGGAAAACCATGTGGTGCTCCTGGCCCAGATATGGACTGGTCACAGAGCTTTCTTCTGAGCAAGATACACACCAGATGTATTCATTATAAGATCCTTTAATGCTCTGCCAGGTATGGCTGAGGTTAGCTTAAATAAGATATTTTACACACTGTGTCACCTAGTGGCTGAACGGTATGATCCATTTTGGCATTCCATTACACCTCCAGTCTTGGTTACCTTTTAAATACCTTTTTTTCTGTTGACATCTCATGTGTGAGAGAAATATGGGGTCTCAGAATTATTAGCCATAGCTCTTTTCAAGTAGGAAGTACCCTATTCTCCTTAAAAAGAACAGGAGTACGTGTGGCACCTTAGAGACAAACAAATTTATTAGAGCATAAGCTTTCGTGGGCTACAGCTCACTTCATCGGATGCATAGAATGAAACATATAGTAAGAAGGTGTATATATATATATATATATTATATATATATATATATACACACACACACACACATATATACAGAGAACATGAAAAGGTAGAATAAGAGGCTAATTAAGATGAGCTATTATCAGCAGGAGAAAAAAACTTTTGTAGTGATAATCAAGATGGCCCATTTAGACAGTTGACAAGAAGGTGTGAGGATACTTGACATGGGGAAATAGATTCAATATGTGTAATGACCAAGACACTCCCAGTCTCTATTCAAACCCAAGTTAATGGTATCTAGTTTGCATATTAATTTAAGCTCAGCAGTTTCTCGTTGGAGTCTGTTTTTGAAGCTTTTCTGTTGCAAAATTGCCACCTTTAAATCTGTTACTGAGTGGCCAGAGAGGCTGAAGTGTTCTCCTACCGGTTTTTGAATGTTATGATTCCTGATGTCAGATTTGTGTCCCTTTATTCTTTTGCGTAGAGACTATCCAGTTTGGCCAATGTACATGGCAGAGGGGCATTCCTGACACATATCACATTGGTAGATGTGCAGGTGAACAAGCCCCTGATGGAGTGGCTAATCTGATTAGGTCCTATGATGGTGTCACTTGAATAAATATCGCAAAAAGAAAAGGAGTACTTGTGGCACCTTAGAGACTAACCAATTTATTTGAGCATGAGCTTTCGTGAGCTACATCTGATGAAGTGAGCTGTAGCTCACGAAAGCTCATGCTCAAATAAATTGGTTAGTCTCTAAGGTGCCACAAGTACTCTTTTTCTTTTTGCGAATACAGACTAACACGGCTGTTCCTCTGAAACTTGAATAAATATGTGGACAGAGTTGGCATTGGGCTTTGAAACTGCTGAGCTTGAATTAATATGCAAACTAGATACCATTAACTTGGGTTTGAATAGAGACTGGGAGTGGCTGGGTCATTACACATATTGAATCTATTTCCCCATGTTAAGTATCCTCACACCTTCTTGTCAACTGTCTAAATGGACCATCTTGATTATCACCACAAAAGTGTTTTTTCTCCTGCTAATAGCAGCTCACCTTAATTAATTAGCCTCTTACTCTACCTTTTCATGTTCTGTGTATGTAAGTGTATCTATCTTATCTATCTATCTATCTATCGTGACTAAATTCCTGCTCTACCTTGGTGGGTCTTGCGCTTATTGGTGGATTTGCTCGCCTTGGAGCTTCACGGCAGCCCTCAGCTTGGCCGTTTTTTCTGAACCCACAGCCCAGGTCCACTCCTCCTGTGTCTGACCAGGAGTTGGGAGGATTTGGGGGGAACCCAGGCCCTCCCTCTACTCCGGGTTCCAGCCCAGGGCCCTGTGGAATGCAGCTGTCTAGAGTGCCTCCTGGAACAGCTGTGCGACAGCTACAACTCCCTGGGCTACTTCCCCATGGCCTCCTCCCAACACCTTCTTTATCCTCAGCACAGGACCTTCCTCCTGGTGTCTGACAATGCTTGTATACCTCAGTCCTCCAACAGTCCGTGGTCTCACTCTCAGCTCCTAGTGCCTCTTGCTCCCAGCTCCTCACATGCACACCACAAACTGAAGTGAGCTCCTTTTTAAAACCCAGGAGCCCTGATTAGCCTTCCTTAATTGATTCTAGCAGCTTCTTGATTGGCTGCAGGTGTTCTAATCAGTCTGTCTTAATTGTCTCCAGAAGGTTCCTGATTGTTCTGGACCCTTCCCTGTTACCTTACCCAGGGAAAAGGGGCCTACTTAGCCTGGGGCTAATATATCTGCCTTCTATTACTCTCCTATAGCCATCTGGCACAACCCTGTCACACTATATATATATATATATATATATATATATATCTTCTTACTATATGTTCCATTCTATGCATCTGATGAAGTGGGCTGTAGCCCACGAAAGCTTATGCTCAAATAAATTTGTTAGTCTCTAAGGTGCTACAAGTACTCCTGTTCTTTTTGCGGATACAGACTAACACGGTTGCTACTCTGAAACCTATTCTCCTTGTTGTTCAAATTCCAAAAAGTAATGAAGGAGTCCTAATGCAACAGGTGCCAAGTGTCCCATGAAAGTGCAGGTGAAGTCCACGCATCATAACACAAACTTGACACAAAAACAATGAGGATAGTGGTGGCACCTTAAAGACTAACAAATTTATTTGGGCATAAGCTTTCATGGGTAAAAAACCCACTTCTTTAGATGGAAGGAGTGAAAATTACAGATACAGGCATAAATATATATTGGCACATGAAGAGAAGGGAGTAACCTTACAAGTGGAGAACCAATGTTGAAGGCAAAAAGCAAATGCCGCTCGTTGAGGGTGGAAGATTTTTTGTCACCAGGAGAGCCGACAAACAGCGGCTACACTGCGTGACTTTTAGTGGCACAGCTGTAGTGATACAGCTATGTTGCTAAAAGCTGTGTAGTGTAGACATAGCCTGATCTGGATCTGGATCTTCAGTTTAAACTGATAAAAGAACAGCAAGGAACAAACAGCCTTTTGTTCCTGTTCTGGGATCAAATGAAGACCTCTGGATTTGAGAATATGCTCTGTGGAGAAAGTCTGGGATATACACCTGAACACACTTAAAACTACCTTCACTAAACAAAGACACTCCACCAAAGAAGTAGATCACATTATGGAACAGGCCACCTGAATATCCCGAGAGAACCTGCTTCAATATAGAAATAAAACCCCCTCTGACCACACACCCCAGTAGTCACCTACCACCTCTTGCTGGAACCCATACAGGGAATCGTCAAACAACTACGACCCATACTTGATGGGGACCTCATCATGAAAGAAGCCTTTCCTGAACCCCCATTTCTGGCCTTCAAACAAGCCCCCAACCTCTCCAGCTCAACATCAGAAGCAAGCTTCCCACAGACCAGGACACACCAACTCAAAGCATCACCAGACTTTGCCAGAACAACAGATGCAAAATGCACAGACATACCTCCACTGCTGCCATGATCAACACTGCATACAACACACCTTTCAAGATCCATGGATCCTACACATGCCTATCACAACCTCCTCCAGTGCACTAAATGCCTCAATATCAACTGTGTGGGTGAAACCAGACAAGCACTACATTCTCAAAAGAGCTCACACAGGAAAATGTCTCTGTCTCTTTATTTTAGTCCATTAAACATATTCCATTGGCACAACATAACAATTGGCATAACAAGAGATGTGACGTACTCAGTACTTCCCTTTCAGCTGTTTAGAACCTCCCCCTCCCCCCTTTTTTTTTCATTCACAGGTTGATGTGGGAGCCTAATGTTTCTATTAGGAAAACACTTTAAAATATGGGTTATGCTCCTAAACATCTGATGAAGTGAGCTGTAGCTCACGAAAGCTCATGCTCAAATAAATTGGTTAGTCTCTAAGGTGCCACAAGTACTCCTTTTCTTTTTGCGAATACAGACTAACACGGCTGTTCCTCTGAAACTAGTTCAATTAAGTCTCTCTCCATCTCCCCCCCCCAAAAAAAAAATTCAAAAAGAAAAATGAACACCAACCTCCACCAAACAGCCCCCCCCCCCGCCAAAATAAAATAATGGCTTGTCTCCCCGCTTCCCTTGAAAATCACAGTTTCTGCTCAGATCCCTGCAAAGGTCAGCTCACAGAGGAGAATAGATGGATTTTCAGAGTCTAAGGTCGTTTTGGAAGTATGGTGAGGCATACGGAGATATCGTGTCATTTTTTCTTATTAGCTTTGAAGCGTTTTCATGGGCCCTTGCACTACCACGAGGAGATGGAAGATATAAAGAGAGAACGTTTTGCCTTAAACGGGGAGAAACCCAAGAAACCGTGGCAACTATTTGGTGATCGCAATGTAAAGTGGCAGCTCATTACGGTGATTGTGATGACTATGGGCCAGCAGCTCAGTGGGATAAATGCTGTAAGTGAATTCCTCACTATTCAGAAGCCAAACAATTTGTTTTAAAGTTTTGCCTGTCTAATTTCCATCTGGCTTTGATCTTCATTAAAAATAGGGAACTCTGATATAGGAGCTATGGAGAGCACGGGGTATAGGAGAAGAGAGAGGATCTTTATTTTACTGATGGCGATAGGGAAAAGCCTCATTCAACTGAAAATATCAGGAAATATTAATGCCAAATTTGGATGATAGAGTGGAAGTTTGTTTTGCTTTGTTTTTTAACTCTCTCTATCCAAAGTCAGCATAATACGTAGGTTTCCTGGAGCAAGAGCCCTACTACTGCTTGTCTTTATGTCATTGGCATTTGACAAAATGATTAAAGCTCCATCATCCCCTCTCATGTTGCATAAACAGCAAAACTTAAGTTACTACATCTTGCTTCACTTCTCATGACTGAATCTCTCCTGTTTCTTTTTTCCCTTGGACAAATTACTTTTGGGTTTGGTTTTATGTTTTGGATGTTTTTGTTTTTTTTTAAAGTACTTCTAGTTCTAGGTTAACACAGTAAGGGGAACCCATTTGCCTCTTGAAGCAGGGTTGGAGTTCAGATTGCAGAATAAGCAGGGCTCCCACTAGGTCTCTGAACTAATGTGCCTTAGCCCTGGTCTCGCTCCAACTGTGTGTGGAAGTGCAGGCTGCACACTTTGTGTGATCTTTCACACACACTAGAATGTATCATAGCTCAGGCAAACTCTTTCTTATATTGTTCACAAGATAATGTTCAGACTATCAGATTTGTTTTTGTTAGCAGTAAATTTACCTAGAGATTGAATTATAGATTTCCCTTTTTGTTTTCATGGTTTTAGTAAGTTATAGGATGCAATTTACTCAAAGGCTGCTTAGTGTATGAGCCCAATTCTTCCTGTTGCTGATGATTTCACTGCTCAAGCACATTGGCACAGCTCTGTTGATATTTTCTTGTAGATTTACTTCTATGCAAGTTACATTTTTAAACAAGCTGGGATCCCTGCAGAAAAAATTCCATACGTTACTCTGGGCACAGGAGCTTGTGAATGCCTTACAGCCCTCACTTGCGTAAGTGATAAATTCTACTTCTACCATACCTGTTATTTTTATTATAGAAAAAGAGAGATGGGGGAATGTGGCATCAGTGTTAACTGAGAAAGTGATATTCCGTCCACAGGGTTTGCTGATTGACTACATGGGCAGAAGACTGCTCATCATTGGAGGATACACCCTGATGAGCTTTTGGTGCATAGTGTTAACATTCTCCCTGACGTATCAGGTATTAAGAAGCACTCATGTGGACCATGAAATGCAATACTGTTTGTTTGAAAATTTGTGAGATTATAGAGCAGCAGAGCTTTTAACGTTGGAGAACATCCTCTCTTGGCAGTCAGAGAAGGAACAAGAGTTGCACAGTTTAAACAACAATGTAGGTCATGACCAAACTTTTAAAAAAATTGTTGTGTCTCAGCTTGAGCACTGAAAAATCGCTAAAGGTGCCCCATTTTCAGAAAGAACTCTGTTCCTCCTCTTTGAAGATCAGGCCTTTCTTAGGTGTTTCAAATTGGGCACTCAAAAACCGAGGAATGCAAAATCACTAGTCACTTTTGAAATATTGGCCAAAAGCTCATGGGGTCCTGACATCTTATTACTCTATAGCAGTCCTTCAGAAAACATTAAATTTACAGCTGTGAAGTTGCTATTTCATACAGATTATCCTTGTTCTGAATTACATTGATTAACAGCCAATAACCTCTGATTGCACTGACTGCAGGATTCCCAAGAGTTCTGAATTTGTTTCTGGCACCTAATAGCGTATTTGCAAACAACATCACAATGCTATCATTCAAGATTTGGTCCTGAGTATAAATTCTGGAGCTCTGTGTCTAATGCTGGTAGGATTAAATAATGACAAAATATACTTTCTAACTTTAAATTAATAATAATCCCCACATAAAATACTACCTAAAGAAAAAGTTAAGTTTGAGACTCCATTTCAGTCACTTAACTGTAAATGTCCTGTACAAATATTGTAGTTATAGAAAGAAATACTAAAAAGCCAACCAAATCAGATTTATGTTTAAATTTACAAGAAACTAAGATACTTGTAAGTATGGAAGTTCACAGCTAAGGTACTTATACTGCCTTAATTCTGCCCCTATAAAGATAGAACACTAGCAAGGAAGGGAAGATTGGAGGCTATCAAAAATACATGCAACACAAAATTGGTTTTATACAGCTAAATTCATTCATATGCCTCTGATAAGTGTGCTGCTTCACCATCATACTAACCTTTGTGTTTTTAATGTAAATAAATGTTATTTCATTATTCGGGCCTAGAAAGTTTGTACACATTACTTATGTGTTTAATGACACTTAGATAATAGACTGCCCATGGGATTATAGGGCTCCACCGTGGGAGGCTAAACAGTGATAAAACTATATTAAAGTTAAACTAGTAATAATACAAAAAGAACAGGAGTACTCGTGGCACCTTAGAGACTAACAAATTTATTAAAGCATAAGTTTTCATAGGCTACAGCCCACTTCATCGGATACATAGAATGGAACATATTGTAAATATATATTACGCACACACACACACAGATCAGTTGGAAGTTGCCATACAAACTGTGAGAGGCTAATTGGTTAAGATGAGCTATTATCAGCAGGAGAAAAAACACTTCTGTAGTGATAGTCAAGATGGCCCATTTAGACAGTTGACAAGAAGGTGTGAGGATACTTAACATGGGAAAATAGATTCAACATGTGTAACGACCCAGACACTCCCAGTCTCTATTCAAACCCAAGTTAATGGTATCTAGTTTGCATATTAATTCAAGCTCAGCAGTTTCTGGGTGGAGTCTGTTTTTGAAGCTTTTCTGTTGCAAAATTGCCACCTTTAAATCTGTTACTGAGTGGCCAGAGAGGCTGAAGTGTTCTGCTACCAGTTTTTGAATGTTATGATTCCTGATGTCAGATTTGTGTCCCTTTATTCTTTTGTGTAGAGACTGTCCAGTTTGGCCAATGTACATGAAAGCTTATCCTCTAATAAATTTGTTAGTCTCTAAGGCGCTACAAATACTCCTGTTCTTTTTGTGGATACAGACTAACACGGCTGCTACTCTGAAACCTAGTAATAATACAGAATTTTACTTTGATTTTACAGACTTAAAGGAAAGTTTTGCATCTACTAATTATAAATATTACTAACAATGGGGACTCAAGCACTACTAAGTATTTGTGAAATTGATTGACTAGTGTATTTTATTGCTTTAAAAGCAATAACAAGAAGAAATTGGCTATTACTAGCAATTAATGGCTGATAGTGACTAAATGGAATTTGATCAGTTTACAACAAAATATGGCAAGCTGTGGGATTTGAAACATTATTTCATTTATACACTGTAGTATACTAAGAAGCAGGGATTAATTTAAATACACATGACTTTCTCATTCTTCGAAGACACTTGTTTGATTTATTGAAAGCTAATTATTATCTGAGTCAGTAACCAATTTTGTGTTATTTATTCAGAAAGTCATTTATGGGTTCAAAGGCTAAACACTTGACTTTAAACCAAATGTTAAGACCTGATGACTGAAATCTGAACTAAATACTTTTCATGCTCTTTTTTCAGGAGCTGTACCCCTGGGTGCCTCATTTGAGCATGGCATCTATATTTGCTTTCATCCTGAGCTTTGGGTTAGGTCCAGGTATTGCACATTCATGAACTCTTGTTTATAAAATTGCCTAAAATGTATCATCTCTAAAATAGTGCCAATATTGTCCGTAGTGTAAGCAAGACAGCTAATACTTCCCATAGGGATGCTGATGCTCCGGCTAAGACAACCCAAATGCACAGAATGGCATAGGATGATATGACCAATACAGTGCATTCCTTCACTGTATGCTCTCTTCAAGGCCATGAAGTGGCCTTCATTCTGGTATCTTTGATGCACCCAAACCACATAGGAAGCAAGTATACAGTACTGTGGAAAGGGATCAGAAAGTCATAGAGGATCACAAGCTACATATGAGTCAACAGTGTAACACCTGAAAAAACAAAAACTAAAAAGAAAATATTCTGGGATATAGCAGCAGGCATGTTGTAAGCAAGACACGAGAAGTAATTCTTATGCTCTATTCCACACTGATTAGGCCTCAACTGCAGTAGCGTATCCAGTTCTGAATGCCCCATTTCAAGAAAGACGTGGCTAAATTGGAGAAAGTCCAGAGAAGAGCAACAAAAATGATTGAAGGTCTAGAAAACATGACCTATGAGGGAAGATTAAAAAAATTGGATTTGTTTAGTCTGGTGAAGAAAAGACTGAGGGGGACATGATAACAGTTTTCAAGTACATAAAAAGTTATTACAAGGAGAAGGGAGAAAATTTGTTTTTGTTGTCCTCGCCTCAGAGGTTAAAAAGCAATGGGCTTAAAATTGCAGCAAGGGAGGTTTAGGTTGGATATTAGGAAAAAATTCCTAACTGTCAGGGTAGTTAAGCACTGGAATAAATGGACTAGGGAGGTTGTAGAATCTACATCACTGGAGATTTTTAAGAGCAGGTTAGACAAATACCTGTCAGGGATGGTCTAGATAATACTTAGCCCTGCCTTGAGTGCAGGGGTCTGGACTAGATGACCTCTCAAAGTCCCCTCCAGTCTTATCATTCTATGAGGCTTGTTGTCATTGTACTTTTAATGGGCCCTTACTCATGCTAAGTTGTACCTTACTCTCTGAGCAGTTCCACTGAAATTAATAAGACTACTTCTGTAAAAGGGTACACCTTACTCTGAATAGGGGTTATCAGAATCTGGACCAAAAAAAGTGTCCAAAAAAAAAAAATTTGGTTAACAAAAAGGATTTATATATAGATCTATCTATATCTTTTACATCCAGGTCAGCTAATGGCACATTCAAAAGCAACTATTTTCTTTTGTTTTTGCTTGAAACTTTCCCTGAAAATGCACACTTACCCTAAGAATCTGTTCTGTTTCTGAAATCGATCCCCAGGTGGTATAACAAATACATTGACTGCTGAATTATTTACCCAGTCTTCACGTCCTGCTGCTTACATGATAGGAGGATCTGTTAGTTGGCTGAGTTTCTTCACAATAGGAATGCTCTTCCCCTTTATAGTGGTACGTATCCGTTACATATACTATCTTCTCTCAGTTGCCTCATGTTCACTTGACTTCTTGCAGAGAAATTTTCCTAGACACAGAAATTGCTCTTCTTTATACAATAAAGAACTTAGTGCTTAGATTAAGATAAGTGAAAACTCTCCTTCAACAAAGGTATTATTAGAGTCAGTCACTCTTAGTAGGCAAGTTTATTTTAGATATCTACAAATAATACAAAAACACACAATAGAAGACAATAAAGTCAGACTGCATATGGAGGACTAATCTCCAGGTTAGGTTTATGATGAGAAAAAATTGAAGAAAAAGTATAAAGAATTCTCACCAAGTTCAGAGATTCATAGGTCACATCTCCTGTCAGCATCTCTTGTTATTGCTTAGCTTGTTAGATCAGAAAGAGGTAATAACTCTGTAACAAATGGTTTACTTCTTATTTGAGGCCATACCACATTTGTCCAAACTCAGTTGAGGACAATCACTTACAATGGAAAATATCTTTGGTCAAGAGAGATATTATTTTAGTGAAGAAAATACATGTTGCCAAATTCCATTTCTAGTCTAATCATTTCAGTTACTCTACTTGGTCTTGCAAAGAAATTCAATATATAGAGACACTACTGAAAAGAGATACTGCCTACTGAACTGAGAAACTCTTTTGCGTGCAACCCTAAAAATATCAAATAATTGACGTGTTCTCAGAATAAGTATTTACATAGGGTGGACTCTATGAAGTTACCTAGGTGCCTAAGTCTTGTTTATAGGAGGGAGTGATGGTGGTATCCACATTATAGCTTTTAGCCCACTGGTTAGAGTACTCACCTGGAATTTGGGAGAGCCAGGTTGAGTTCCCCCTTCTGTAGCAGTGGGGGAGGGAAGGTCTTTCACACCACCTCTAAGGAGAGTATGCTAACCATTGAGCTACCAAAAAGTCTAATGGGGGGTGGGTGGGTCCTCAGACACTCCTGTTGAAGCTGTTCCACTGTGGATATATAAGGAGTCATTGCAGCAGGGGGACATGACATAGGGTCTCCTACCTTCTAGGTGGGTGCCTGAACCCACTGGACTAGAGAGTCATTCTTTCACATTCTCGCCCAGTCACTGTTTCATTATTTAATCCACAGTGGAACAGTTTCAACAGAAGGGACCAAGAGACCCTTACCTCAAAATATCCTGGTTTCAGAGTAGCAGCTGTGTTAGTCTGTATCCGCAAAAAGAAAAGGAGTACTTGTGGCACCTTAGAGACTAACCAATTTATTTGAGCATAAGCTTTCATGAGCTACAGCTCACTTCATCGGATGCATGCCTTTTTCAAAATATCCTGTAGCTCAGTGGTTAGTGCACTCTCCTGAAATGTAGGAAACTCCTGTTCAAATCCTCTCTTCCCCCATCAAGGAAAGGGTAAGTTGAATCTAAGTTCTCCCCATCCCAGCTAAGTTCTCTAACCAGTGCGCTAAATGTTATAACATGGGCACCACTTCCTACTCCTCATTTTGTGTGGAGCAAGGCAGGCACCCAATTCATTCCCTACGTAACTATGTAGGCTCTTAAGCCAGGAGAGGGGTTCCTGTTGTGGACTGCTAGTAGAGCTAAGCATCTCCCTGCAGATTTGAAGTGTTCTAAAATAAAAAATCACCAACTTTACTATTGATCATTTCAGCTAATGATACAACAAAGAGATAGGGTAAACTGAAGCTCCATCTGTTCCCTTTTACTTAAAACCTAGATTTGGCACGGTTAGTGACTGACAATAGAATCTGAATTAGTAAATAATACCTAGTTAAGTTTAGAAAATACTATGATTTTTGTATTAATCTCCAACATCCTGTATTTTGTTTTAGAATGGACTGAAGCAGTATTGCTTTGTGGTGTTTTTACTGGAAAGCTTATTGGTTGCCAGTTTCATCTTCTTTGTCATTCCTGAGACAAAAAACAAATCTTTTCTGGAAATCAAACAAGAATTTCAACACCTTAATTTCAGAGGAAGAATCAAAGAGAAGGAAACAGAACTATAATGTGAAAGAAGGCAGCTCTGCAATTAATTTCAGAGTGCACTTCACATCTCACAGGTGTAAGGCAGCCACATTAATGGAAATTATACACATATGATCCCATATAGTATATAAAAATGTTAAGGACTGTATTCAAAGGCAGCTTGTTATATCATTAGGTGAAACTTATTTAAAAGGTAGACTAATCTTGCTGGAATGTCAAAGTACTGTATTTTATGTACACATACAGTACTGCCTACGAAAAAGACTCAATTCAATAAAAATGTTGAGACATTTGGCTAATGTACACATGCAGAAACAGTGCTGATTACCTGGTCTCATGGGAGTACAGACTTCATTGGGGGATTGCTCCAAACATTCAATGTGAATCCATGGCATGCCTCATACTCTCACCATATCAGGTGTCAATATGAAGAATTTAGGAGACAGCAATGGGGTTCGAGCATCACTTCTTGAAATAAAATGTAGCTATTACTTTAATGTGATATTAGAATGCTGAACATTTAAGAATGGCCACATTGAATGCAAAACCTACTGCTAAGTTCAGCAGTTCTCAAACTTCATTAAAGTATGACCCCCTTCTGAGAACAAAAATTACTACATGACTCCAGGAGCGGGGACCGAAGACTGAACCTGCCCAAGCCCCACCGTCCGGGGTGGGGGTGGGGGGCAAAGCTGAAGCTCAAGGGCTTCTGCCCTTGGGCAGGGGACATGTAATTTTAGCCCTGGGCAGTGGGGCTTGGGCTTGAGACTTGCTGGAGCTCAGGGCCAACACCAGCCTTGGTGAACCCATTAAAATGGGGTCACGACCCACTTTGGGGTTGCGCCGCAATTTGAGAACCCCTGTTCTAGTTACTACATAAAAACACTCCTCCTCCTGTCATCAAGACTAATTCCTCTGACAGGCCTCAGCCTACCTGAGGCTTCTCCTACACAGTCCTATTTCTGTGACAGCACAAAATGGACACAAGCAATGAATCCCATTGGAATGAAGGCAGTAGGTAAGAAACTATATATATGATTCATGATAAAATGTATTACAAGGACCGAATGGCACTGGGGATCAGGATATAACTGGCCTTCCTGAAATTAGTGGTTGAAATCCAGCCTCTATTAGAAAAAAAATCAGAAACTACCATAACAGTTATTTGGTGACCTGTGTGAAAATAATTTGAGTCTCATTGAGTCTGGCTCCTGGTAGATGAAAATACCTGGTCACAAAAAGACAATAAATGGTATCTGCAGCAGAGATGCCTAAATTCAATTTGTGACAGAAACTGAACACTTCTCTCATTCCCTAGAGATGGGTCATTCCAAGACAGGACTGGGGAACACTGACACCACAGGAAGACCATGTATAGCAGGGGTAGTTAATTATTTTTATCAAGATCCAAATTTCTTGGTCAAGGTACAGACTCCAGGAAAGAAAATAATAATAGAAACAATAATAAGTAAATAAAAAGATTTTGGGGTCCATTCAAAAGCAGCTGGTGGTCCAGATTTGGCCTGCAGTCTGCCTATTGACTACCCCTGATGTATAGCTTCAATTATCAATACTGTACCTGTAGTGTGGAAGAGTCCTCTGTTTAATCACTAGGGCTGTCCAGCCAGCACTTTGAATCAAAAGTGAACTCACATTTTAAATTTCCCTTAAAACTGAAGCACCAAAGGTCTTAATTTATTACAGTATTTACATTCCCCTTTGATTGTTTTGTTTCCTCACCTTATAAGGATCTATTACAGAAGCTGTAACTTATGTGCTCTCTGGTGGTTTCCGACTGATGCTACCACTGGTGCAGTTCCACAAGTGATATAATAGCAGGAGCACTGCTGTAGAGATGTCAGCATTTTAACCATTCTTGTCTAGATCTACTCAGAACATGCTTAGATGACATGATGATTAAAACAGCATAGGCACCGGGGTTCTTCTCTACATAGACCTAAAGAGTAAAATCAATGGGAAGTTTTAGGGAAAAAGGCTAACAAACAAAGCCACTGTGTTCTTACTGCTTGCCATGAAGTTATTCTAATAATTTAATCATTTGTTTTTACAATATACAGATAAATTAATTTCTACTCTAGATATCTCCTGCTGCACAGTCATGAACTCATCTCTTGTGTGAAATAAGGTCCTATCTGGTTTAGATTCTCAAAAAAAGGCTAAATATCTCTCTCCCTGTTTGTTCAGTGCACAGCTAGAGCTGGCCAAGAATTTAGTTTAAGCCTTACAAGGCAACATACAAAGTACACTCAAGTCTCCAGTTTTGCTTACTCCTTTCAACTGCCTCACCAACACACAGTGATGTGAAAGGAAATAAGGGCAGCTTTGAGCAGGAGAGTTTGATAAGGTTCTTCTTGCTAGGTTCATGCAAAAGTAGGATATTAAACACATCCTGATCAAAGTGAAAGTAAACAAGGTAAGAGCGACTATCACACTGGTTGAAGGAGGCAAATGCGTTCCCACCCTGAATAATCTCTGCCCTCAGTACAACTGAGAATGTTGTTACCACCTGTCTCCAGGTCCTGCAAGAAACTCTCCAGTGAGCAATGTTTGCTAAAACTTTTCCTATAAACAAGCACCATTTTCCCCATGGCTGTAAGCGTTTGGTAAGGAGTCGGGAAAATCCACCAAAGTGGGCATTCAGGCCTTACTTAGGCAACACTTTTTGATGTCAGTGCAGCATCGGGCCCTGACTAAATCCCAATAGCAACAGTGATCTGCATACTCATTTATTGTCCACTAGGGATAGGTAGCTATACACTTTGGGATACAGAATCTATAAGTATTGACAGTAAGGAGTGTGGCCACAAAGGTAGCAGTTGGAATTCAGCAGTTGGTAGCAATAATGACAGCAACATTCCACTTTCAAGACTGCAAACTAATGACACTGGGTGGTACATGGATGTCTTTTACACAGCTCTTCTGTTTCCGTAGGTAAGTAAGGACCGAAAAAATCAAGAGGCACACAATGGTTGTGCTGCTTTTAGTTCCTGAATCAGAAACTACAAAATCACTATTTTAATCAAAAGTGGATCGGGTCTTAATGGCAAAGAATGTGATATCAGGAAGGATTCTTCTTGCTCTTCACCTTGTCCTCCAAGTTTTCAAAGTATTTCATTTTGGCTAGAAGTTTCTTGGCTTCTTGAAGATCATCTGAAATAAAGAACTGAAGTTTATATTAGGATGGAGTCTGTTTCATCTTAGAAATTTAATTTAAAACATTTTGTTGTTGTAAAATGGCCATATCAATAACAGAACTAAACATGAATTTAAAAAACTCAAATACCATGAGTACTACAGTAAAGCTAATGTTGTAACAGTGGAGGCCTCAGTCAAGATCGGGCGCCCCTTGCAATAGGCACTCTATAAAACAAATATAAGAAATAGGCTTGCCCCAAAAGCTTACAATCTAAAAAGACAAGGTGTACAAAGAATGGGGAAAAGACATGCAACAACAGTGCCCTCCAATTACTTCTCTGAGAAGCACCAACAGAAAAAAACCCCAGTGGACCATTAGGCATCAAACTGTAAGACTGGCATCAGAGGCGTGCTTGGACTATTTCCATTACAACTATATGACACAGACATAACAGGAGTAAGACCCAGCAGCCTAGCTAGCAACCACTGCTACAACAAAGACTGGCTCCATCCCACCACCACTGCCAGAAGGGCTCTGCCTGTAAAAGGAGCTCTTTCAGACAGCACTGGAGCATGCCTTCAGGCTCCGTATTTCTTTTTAAGTGGTGTTAATATTAAATCCTTCAATATAAAGGATCCACTAATATGTTGTAGTTAAAGCAATTTCATCCACAGATGTGAGGCCAGCAGGGCAGATAATCAGGAAACCCTTAGTAAGGTACCTATGTTTGTGGGAGGGAGGCTGGTTATGGGGGATTGTGGAATTAGAAATGTGGGCAGCCTCTAAGAGACCAAGAAAGATTGTAATGTTGAGGGAATCTTAAAATTGAGACAGGGTAGATAAAAGGGTTTGTACCCTGGGGTGAGTGAGGGCCCTGAGATAAGGAGGATCTTAAATTCCTCTTTCCACTGATTCCATAGCAGTGACACTGGCAGAGTAGGGATGTAGAGACCACAGGAGTAGATGACTGAGTTCTGGCACAGCTTTTACCAGTTAGATGTTTGGTATATCATGAACCAAGGATGGTCAGTAGGGAGAAAGCGTAGCAGTGCTGATTGCATTCCACCTGAACTATAGGAAGTCTTCGCCAAACTGGATCTGACAGAGTAAGTGTCCATTTAGCATGCAAGCCCTAGATGGGATTAAGGTAGGACTGATTTTAGTGTACCACCGGATCTGCTGCACTGTCAAGTTCCTTTGTAAGGGGACTACATGCCTCAGCCTGGTGGCAATGGAAATACAGGGAAGGATTCAAGTCACGGAGAGCAATCTTCATGTGGATGATGAATCTTCTGAGGTGGTCAGGAGATCCTGAACATCATGAAAGCCATGGGCCTATCAAAGGTAGTTACTGGATCAAATCTCAGAAGTGGCCACTCTTTGGACCTGTTTTTTGGATTGGGACTGCAAGTTATGCAACTGAATCTTAAACTAGCATCATGGACCAACAGTTACTGCCTATGGTTTGAGGTTGGGGCTCATTTCTCCTGTCAGGGTGAGAGACTTCTTTGAATGGTCTGCCTTGACTGATTAATGGAACTAGAAGAGTTCCAGAGATTCTTGTTCCATTGTTAGGCCACAATTGTGATGGTTAGGGAAGACAATACTTCTAGGTGCCCTCTTTGCTAGTTTCATTCTCACAGTTACCCTGATTTACTGGGGACCTGAAACAAATTAAGCAAGAGGAAGACAGCTAGAGTGCCAGTGGTGGAAATCTCATGCAGAGGCTCAACAGCTGTTTCATGAAGGTTTGGGAAGTAAAGAAAGAGTTATTTTCTTCTACCAGAGCATCTGCAAAATCTTGGACAGCAGGTTTATTCTAGGTTATAGATAGTCTGTTAAATCAGGACAGTCTGAGTTCAGTGGCTGGTCTGACTCCCTCCTGTTGAGGAAATTTGTTGTTTTACAGACCAAATTGATCAGATTACGGATGGGGTGTCTGATTTCCTGGTGACAGAACAAGGGCCTCATCTTGGCTGGTAGTTTCAGGCAGTGATTCTGACTGAGGTACTGAAGATGGTGAGTTTCAGAGTAACAGCCGTGTTAGTCTGTATTCGCAAAAAGAAAAGGAGTACTTGTGGCACCTTAGAGACTAACCAATTTATTTGAGCATGAGCTTTCGTGAGCTACAAGTGAGCTGTAGCTCACGAAAGCTCATGCTCAAATAAATTGGTTAGTCTCTAAGGTGCCACAAGTACTCCTTTTCTTTTTGAAGATGGTGAGAGATTTTTCTTGCAGGCAGTGTTTTGGCTCCACATACTTCCTGGCAGGTGATGTGAGGCAAACCTGCAGCCAAACCAGGGCTACTCACTCAGCTGTCCCTCCCACAGAGCTGCACTGAGTCATCACTCAGGCACGTGGCAATATTGCAGTGAATTACCTTTCCCACAGAGCCTGCCGTTACTCAGCCATCCCTGAGCAGAGCCTGGGTCAGCTGACCCCCAGGCTCAGGTATTTCTCCATCCCCCCTAGAGCTGCAAATCACTCTGTGCAACAGCATTATCCAGTTAGGAACACTGCTACTGCTTCACAGTGTATCAGACTCTCTAGATTCCCAGCCTGTTCCTGACCACTTCTTACACTGTCTCCTGGCCCCCTCCTACCGGATTCTGAACCAACTGGCTTTGACCTCTGTCATATACCTGGACTCCAGCTACAGACCTGTTTGACTTATCTATAGACACTGATTCCTGTTCTGACCCTGGCTGTCCCCAGATCTCAGTTCCAGCACTACCCTTGGCCTAGTGCCAACCCTACGTCCAGCTTTGTCGTCTGCTCCAACCAGTAGGCCTGACTACCGGGAAGCAAAGCCTGACAGGTGGAGACCAGTGGGGAATAGTGGGTCCTTTGTTTGCCTCTCTGTGAGGGCAGGGCGCATCCTGCTTAGAAGGAAGCATTAGTACACACTGCTCAAAAAGTCATCAATTGACACTGACAATCTAGTTAATTATTGACCTGTATCCCATGTTGGGTAAGATTATGAAGAAGGCTGTGGTGAGACATGGCTCACACGATCTAGAATGCTTTTGCTCTCTTCAACACTTTGCCAAGGCCAGGTCTGTACTCGCATTGCAGAGACTGCAGTGGTTGATTATCTTCTCCAGGAGATGAACGAACATCAGATGTTCATGCTGCTGGTATTCGATCTGTCAGCTGCCTATGATACCATTAATCATAAGATGTCTCACCAGCAGACCCTAGCAGGAGTGGAGAAGGCTGCTCTTCAGTGGCTTTGTTCTTTTTTCTTGGAAAGATCTCACTGTGTAGTTGGCAATTGCTTCTCTTCCCGAAGTGCTGTTAATTGTGGGGTCCCAAAGGGTACCATTTTGTCACCCTGCCTGCATTCAAGACATATATGGGGCTGTTAGGAGAGTTAGCCAGGAGGCATGGGACGCAGCATTGTCAGTATTCTCTCATTTGACTCATAGAATGTAGTTCACTGCCACAGCCAGTGTCTAAAATTGGGGTATGGATGAGAGTAAGATGGCCGAGACTTAACCCAGACAATAATGACATGCCAACAGTGAGTTGAAGGAAAAGAGGTGGCGATGACAGTGGAGGTAATTTCAGTCCTTTTCACGGAAGGTGTACAACTGCCATTAGGGTTTCATCTCACATGGAGCTACATCATAAAACTATTCAGAGACAAGCTGGTGCAAAACACAGCAGCCTGCTCACTGAGCAGGTCATCTTGCTAGAAGCTTGATACCAGAACTCTGGGATCTGTACTGGCTTGCCCATCAATTTCTGGAAGTTTTTTATTTTTAACGGCAGTGAATGATACTTTAATTCTGTAGTTCACTAAATACTTTATACCAAAGCATGCTGTTTTTAGCACTCATTACTCTGACATTATACCAGTAAAAATTCAAGAAGTAACTGAGATCACTACCTCTTTCAAAAGCTTTGCTCACATCCTTGGTCAATTCTTCTCGTTTAACTGTAAAAAACAAAAAATACATAGTCTTATTCAAAGCTGTATATACGCTCACTGAGCACTTTCAATAACATTGCCTTATGACTTCATGCTGGGAAACAGATATGCTGCCAGCACCTTTGCAATAACGTTTTTGCTAACTGTTTTGTTCTGTCACTAGCTATTAAACAAACAGTTTAGCACCAAATCAAAGAAGTGAATTTTAGTGTAAATACAGAGACTAATGTCATCACGAACTTTAAGGGCTAGTAGCTTGGTTAAAAGTTCAGCTTACACTCTGAATTTTATTTTACCCTTTCACAATACTGACTATTGCTATTATTTCTTGCAGCCAGAATTATTAACCCTGCAGAATGAAAGTGTGAAAATACTTCACCATTGAATTGATAGTTGGCCACTACCTAGAACACATTAATGGACAAAGTAGGCAGGATGAGAACACACTCTTACAGCACTCTCCCAAATACACGGTTACCATACTTTAAACTTTGTGGGTGAAAGTGTAAGGCTCTTCAAACCAAATACTTTGCTACATTTTCTCCATATTAACATGCTCTACCGTAAAGTGATTTAAAACCTTCTTTGAAACTGGTGACCGTGTTGTTATAGTATATATGTTCTCTTGTCATGGTGACTAGCATTAATATTTAGAGAAAAGTTTACTGAGTGACTCTGGTCCCTCTGAGCAGAGGACTTTTCACAGCTCCCTACTATGTTCCATATCATGCTCGACTATCCTCTCCTTTGTTTAGTAGATGAGACTTGCTGTATTCAAACTCTATATCTTCATTTCATCAGATTGCACTGGTGTCCCCTGTGGACAGCTGAAGTTCAGACTGTTCATCACTATGTAACCTTCCAATTTATTAACTATCCTTCTGAACCATCATCCACCTAGTACTTCTCCACAGTTGACAAGCCCTCAAACTTTCAGTGCTTGCTGGAGTTCAGTGAAAGTTTCTCTGTCACAGAGTGATAGATTGTCAAGCCAGAAAAGACTCCCAAGATTTTCCAGTTTGAGCTCTTGCATCACACAGCACTGCTCCCCACACCATTTTCCTAAATGTCTTCTCTAAGCTCTCCTTACATAGATATTAAGGTCAGAAGGGACCATTATGATCATCTAGTCTGACCTCCTGCACAATGCAGGCCACAGAATCTCACTCACCCACTCCTGCGATAAACCTCTCACCTATGTCTGACCTTATTGAATCCTCAAATCATGGTTTAAAGACTTCAAGGAGCAGAGAATCCTCCAGCAAATGACCGGTGCCCCATGCTACAGAGGAAGGCGAAAAACCTCCAGGGCCTCTTCCAATCTGCCCTGGAGGAAAATTCCTTCCCGACGCCAAATATGGCGATCAGCTGAACCCTGAGCATATGGGCAAGACTCACCAGCCAGATACCCAGGAAAGAATTCTCTGTAGTAACTCAGATTCCACCCCATCCAACATCCCATCACAGGCCATTGGGCCTATTTACCATGAATATTTAAAGATCAATTAATTGATCTTTGGGCTTCTGCGTTGCTCCACTATCTCTTTGGAGCCAAGAATTACTTCCCCCATCAGTCTTAACACTTTCTCAATCTCCACGCTGAATACTTCCTTCACACTAACCCATTACTCTTTATCCTGACAACTTCAAACACTGAATAATATATTTCTCTTTATAGGCAACATGACCTCAAACATGTTTAAACCATTATTCAAAAGCTACATCCACATTTTCTTATTGCCAAACTAGTTAGAAGCTTGCTATATAGATTATAACAGGCACTAGATACATTTCCTGTTAGTAAGATTTTGTTAATGATATTGCCCGTATGGAATTTTGCTGTAAAAAGCAAAATTCTGTTAACAACATTAACAGAAAAAATATTTGCTTTGAAAAGGTAGCCTTTATAACAAGCTGTGGCCACACCTGCATCGGACTAATAAAGCTGAACTAATAAAGTCCTTTTTAGATTGCTTATAAAAAGGAACTCTATTTTTCAGGGGCACCTTGGCAAGCAGTGTAAGTTATCTAGTTTGCAGTTTGGGTGGAGAAAATGCAAGTGGTTTTGCAGCTCAATCTACCAGCACAAACTGGTATCCAGACCCCCATGACAATCGCTAGTACGCTATGTATACATATTCATCTGGGACAGGAGAAGTGAGAGGTCAATTAAAAAAAGAGAAGTGGTAATGATATTTACGTTCTCTGTAGACAAACAGGAAAATTGCTAAATTAAAAAAAAATTATCCACTAGTTAAGAGAAAATTGGCACAATGAAAGGAGAAAAGAGAAATTGGAGATTAGGCACTAGACACTACGTTGGTCAAACCGATATACTGCTCCTCTTCCTTTTTTTAAAAAAAAGAGGAACCCGAAAGGAGTCCTATTTCATAGATACCAGGGGAGCAGTCACACAATGCTGAAAGTATATAAGCAGAATTCCTAAGGCAGATAAAGTATGAAGTCCACATACATGACAATAGAAACCTTCAGTGGAAATGAAGGTTGAGGAGGAAGGAACACACTTCTAAAAGCAAGCTTGAGTTGATTCTCTGTTTTGCTGGGTTTTAAACTTGTTTGATGCCCTCTTATGTTTATAGCTTTTGCAGGCCTCAGTGGGTTTGCACACCATAGCTGAACATAAAAAGATAAATACTGATCAGGTAAGGGGACAAGTGAACAACTATAGTGGTAAGTGTTAGATTAAGAACACAGAGGTGTGTATATGTGCAGGGGATGCAAAATAGAAGGACAGAATGATAGAGGATCTAAAGCAATCAGAATAAAAACAAGGACATGGACTAAAGTTTGTCCTATTCAACATAATGATGAAAAACATAGGAAAATGTGGAAAAGCTATTTTCTTAACTTCCTCCTGTCACAGAGCTGGCCCTTTAAGGGGCGTTAGCCTACCTGGGACCAGCCTACCTGTGATAGAGAGAATAAGCCAACTCAAACCATTCTGGAACCAACTAAATCCCTGGGTGACTGACTGGCCATTTATTAATAAGCTTGATAAAGGGTTCCTAGACACAGTATCTCCCAGGAGAGCTCTCTAGAACAAGGAGCCTGGATGGTGTGCTTCTAGAGACAGAAGCAGCAGGACAGAAGCCCAGGGGCTGCAGGTGGCTGGAAAAAAGTGGCTGCAGATAAGTGCTGCAGAAGATTAAGGTAGAGACTGAATTGGACCCAGAGAACCACAGGGCCAAAGAAGGGCTGTGCACCCTTGGGCCCAAGTGGAGAGATCGCAGGCTGGACTAAGAAATACAGTCCCCAAGGGGAGGGCTGTGCAAACCCTGCACTCAAAAGGAGAGACTTATTTCAAGTATATTTAAATTTAATAAAGTAGAACCTTAACATGGGAATTTTGCTTTAGACCCTTTTGAACTGTGTGGTGTTCTTAGGGGGCCCTGGACAGGGAGCACTTACAGTGCCATGCTCAGGCAGCAGGAGGTGTTATGGGGCAGTCCTCCCCACATTACATCACCTTAATTAGAGAGACTAGCCTTCTGTCACATTATAGAAAATATAGCATTGTAACTTATTCCTGTACATTAGACAAGTCTAGACTTCACCTTCAATGAAACTTTCAATCTCTTCTATTTTAGCCTCATTATTAGGTTCTGCCAGCGTCTCATTGATTTCCATGATTTCCTTGAGGAACTCCACATCTATGTCACTGTCTGTCCCTTTTGCCAGTTCCACTCCATTCAGCTCCAGCTGGTGAAGAAGAAAACAATGGGCTCACAATATCTGCTGCTGCCAGGCCTGTATTTCAATCCCAACCACTTTCCAAACTATCAAGTCACTAAGAGTTTATCTACACGTGGAGTTCATCAGGAAAAACTCCCTGTGTAGACATGCTCCAAAATTAGCAGTTGGCTAATGCACAAAGGGGCACTGGGAGTGGTTAGGGGCAAGGCTTAAAGTAAGTATAGAAGGTACATCTTTGCTCAGAGATAAGTAATCTGTTGGATGGGTGACAGACTATAGTCCATGTCTACACTGCCACTTATGCTGGCAAAGTGTATGTGGCTCAGGGGTATAAAAAAACCCCACCCCTCTGCGTGACATAAGTTTTGCCGACATAAGTGGTAGTGTGCACAGCAATAGGTCAGTGGGAGAGCTTCTCCCGCCAATGTAGTTACTGCCGCTTGCTGGGGGTTGTTTAACATGTTGACAGGAGAGCTCTCTTCTGTCAGCTTAGAGCGGCTACACGAGAGATCTTACAATGGCACAGCAGAATTGGTACAGCTATGCTGGTATAAGGTCTCTAGTATAGACATAGCCTTAGTGAGATTACAGTGATAAAAATAATAAAAGAAAAAAGTTATTCCATAGTAAAGATGCTAACTAGGTGGGACAGAGGAACTCTTTGGCCTTCTTCAGTCTCAAATATTCCCGTTTTCTCTTGTGAAAGTATATGAATGGTGGAAAAACAGTAGAGGAGGTACACAGGATTTGGTTCTTTATACTGTAACAAACTACAGTCATCTCTGCATGTTTATGGTGCGATTCTACAGTATATATTAGACACCTTACTAGGTACAATCCACGTCTCAAGGGACTTAGAAGGGTTTGGTAGGCTCTGTTAACCAAGGAAGAGTGTTGTTCAGAAAAGTCCCGCTCTTTCTGTCAACAGAAGATCCAGAAATATCTTTATTACACAGAATTACCATATTTACAATAAAAGCCAAATCATGCCATTTAGTCAGCAGTAAAGAAATAAAATTACTATACAAACAGTACACATCAGTGCAATCTTTAATTGCAATAAAATCTCTACCAAAACATTTAAGGAAGCCAAAAGAATTAAACTGTTATGGATCTAGATAAGAATGCTGCGTACATTAGAAATACCCAGTGAATACCAGCACTTTACTGGTTCAAAATCTGTTACCTCTGTGATCAAAGTTTAAATTTTTTCGTTATTTTAAAATGCAGGACATCAATTGCTTTTCTTCAGCTAGACTAGCAGTTCTCAACCAGGTGTCTGGGGCCCTCTGGAGGGCTGTGAGCAGGTTTTAGGGGGTCTGCCAAGCAGGGCCAGCATTAGACTCACTGGGGCCCAGGGCAGAAAACAGAGGCATTAGACTCACAGGGGCCCCTGTGATGTGGGGCCATAGGCAATTCCCTGCTTGCTACCCTCTAGCACTGGCCCTGGCTTTTATATGCAAAAAAAGCAGTTGCTGTGGCACAGGAGGGCTGGTGTGTTTTTATAACATGTTGGGGTGGCCTCAGGAAAAAAAAAAAAAAAAAGGTTGAGAACCTCTGAGCTAGACTAACTTGTAATTCGACCTCTTAAATCTCACACTAAGCATGTCTGTGCATAGTCTGTCTTTGCAGAAAATGCTTCCAAACAACCAAACCAAAGTTTTCCAAAAAAGGGATCCAAACTCAAAAACTGTAACTTGGGACTCCGAGGGTATGTCTACGTACTCCATGGCAGTGAGCTTCCCAGCCCTGGTTGATACTTGGATCAGCAGGGCTTGAACTGGTGTTTTAAAAATAGCTCTGGACAATGCTTTGAAGTTGTGGTTCAAGTTCTGAAGCTAGGGAGCGGGGTGGGCTTCAGAGCCTGAACTCCAGAGCCTAAACCACACCATCAAAGTGCTGTCTATACAGACATTTTTAGAGTGCTAACCCGAGTCAATAAACCCAGGCTGGGAGGCTTGCTGCTGTGGGCTGTGTAAACATACTCCTGGGGCCCAATTTTCAGAGGGAAGTATGTATTCTCACCACAGTTGAAAATCTGGCCCCTGGAATCTCAAGGAGGTCAGACATCCAAAAATGGAGAGAATCAATTAATGGAAGTGTTTTGAAAATTTGAAAACCTTAGGTTCTGGTGGTTGGGTGGACCCAAAAGAAACACCACGTCAGAGGAACAGGGGAAGACTACATAATGACATTGATTAACCGTAATAAGTACACTTTACATCCTCCAAACATCACTGATATAAGCCTCAAGCGCTGGGAAAGTGAGAGAATGGGTGCAGATAGCCTGGGGGTGTGAAGGGCTTCCTCCTCTTCCCCAAATTTTAGGGATTGTATTAATAAAGGAAATTGAGTTTGGAATAGAAGCTTGTTTATCTCACTTTATTAGAAGTGGACAAACTCAGTTAGGGACCAAAGTACTTTTTAAAGTGACATTCAACAGCGACTTTTAAAAAAAACTCGCATCCCTCCAAATAAAAAAGGTCTCTCTCTACCTCAAGTGAAAATCATTCCATTTCATAGGCAGAGAACTTGCAGTGCAAACTAGGAATGTATATGAAGCTTCTGAGCAAGTCGGGGCAGTGATTAGAGAACCCTGGGCTCCACCTCCCACCCCTGTACTCAGTCCATACAGATGCACAGATTTGGGAGCTGGTTCCCAAATAAATGCACTTGTTGAGCTGCCAATGAGTTGTCACCATGCCTTTCACTGGGGTGACTTTCACTGGAAAAGGTGACAACTCTCCTACACCAAGGCCTGTGCCTGGAGGCCCAAGAGCAAGTCTTCATCACCCCGAACTCCTAACCTGGGGTCTCTGGGTGAAGTAATCAGGGTGCAGGGAGCGTTGCAAGCTCCGGAATCGCTGCTGCAGCTGCTGCACATTGATGTTGAATGAGCGATCGCTGGGGAGAAAGAAGAGGGAAAGCATGAGAGCGACAGCTAACCAACTACTGTCCCCAACCCCCGAACTCCCTCAAGCCCTAACCTCCCGCACCCGCAGCTGCAGCCTCCAAGGCCCTCCCCTGGTTCTCAGCCCCGCTCCAACCTCCCAGCCCTTCCCCCACCCTCACACTCCCCTCAAGCCCTAACCTCCAAGGCCCTCCCCTGGTTCTCATACCTGCTCCAGCCTCCCAGCCCTTCCCCCACCCTCACACTCCCCTCAAGCCCTAACCTCCAAGGCCCTCCCCTGGTTCTCAGCCCCACTCCGGCCTCCCAGCCCTTCCCCCACCCTCACACTCCCCTCAAGCCCTAACCTCCAAGGCCCTCCCCTGGTTCTCAGCCCCACTCCGGCCTCCCAGCCCTTCCCCCACCCCACCTCCCCCCAACCCCAACCTCCAAGGCCCTCCCCTGTTCTCAGCCCCCCCCCCCCCCCCTCCCCCACCCTCACACTCCCCTCAAGCCCTAACCTCCAAGGCCCTCCCCTGGTTCTCAGCCCCGCTCCAGCCTCCCAGCCCTTCCCCCACCCTCACCCTCACCCTCACACTCCCCTCAAGCCCTAACCTCCAAGGCCCTCCCCTGGTTCTCAGCCCCGCTCCGGCCTCCCACCCCCTCACCAGTCCATCAGGCGGAAGAGGTCAGGCTGGGACTCCGGCGGCTGCAGGGCCTGGCAGGCCGGACAGAAGCGAGGGAGCCCCCCGGGAGCGGGGAGAGCGATACCACAACTCCAGCAGCGTGGGGCGGGGAGCGAGCCGGCTTCCGCACTACGCGGCCGAGAAGAGGCGGCTGGAGCCCGAGAGCCCCACAGCGCCCTGCAGAGCTGACCCCTCCACACAACCCACATCGGGCCGGAACTACAACTCCCAGCAGCCCCCGCGAGACCCACTAAAGCCGGATTGGCTGAGTTTATAAGAAGACTCGCGCGGGGCGCATGCGCAGTGAGCGGCGCGCTCGGGCTCGGAGTTGGGTCCGCGTTCATTCAGTCCTCGCGCGCGGGTGAGTCCGGGTCTCAGGTTCGCGTGGGGCTCAGCCCCCCTGCGCGAGCCCGCCCCGCGGAGTCTGCGCGCGCCGGTAGGCCCGGCTCCGGCTCCGGCTCCGGCCCCGGCCTCGGCCTCGGCCTCGGCCTGCGCCCGCCGCGCCGCGCGCCCGAGCGTCGGGGCCGGGCCGGGCCGTCTGAGCGGGGGACCCCCCGGCGCCGGCGCCGCCTCCTCCGCGCGGCTGACTGGCGCCGGCTGCGCCGGTCTTTGTTCCGTGGCGGCCGCAGGCCCGGCCCTCGGAGCGCTCCCTGCCAAGGCCGCGCTCCAGCGGGTCCCGCGCAGCAAGGCGCGAGGAGACGGGGGGGGGATGGACGGGGGGGGGTCTGTGTCACCCCCCCGCAGTGACGTACCTCTCTGCCAGCGGCTGCAGGTGCCTGGCCCAAGCTGCCCGCGCTGTGGGGGCGGGGCACGTTACCTCTCCCGCCCGAAAGTCATTTCTCTGCGGGGAGGCCGGGGAGTCTGCCTGTGACGGGGAGTCTGCGCCCAGCAGGGCTTTCGGCAGGTGACCTGAACTGCCCTCTCGTGGCACCCGCAGCCTTGCGTTTCTCTGCCAGAGTTGGGGCCTTTGCACTAGTGTCCTTGTTGTGTTTCCATTTAGGTAATAGCCTCTTGTCTCCCCATAACAGAGGTGGGCAAACTACGGCCTGCAGGCCACATCCAGCCCAGGGGACCGTCCTGCCCGGCCCCCAAGCTCCTGGCCGGGGAGGCTAGCCTCTGGCCCCTCCCCCCCAGCTCCCCCCCCCGCCCCCGCCTGCAGCCACACCGCTGCGTGGGCAGCACTCAGGGCGGCAGGACTGCCCACTCATGCAGGGCAGCGAGGCAGCGTGTCTGGCTCCGGCCAGGCGGCGTGGCGGCATGGTAAGGGGGTTGGGGCCGGGGGTTTGGATAAGTGGCAGGGGGGCCCTGGAGGACAGTCTGGGGACACGGAACAGGGGCAGTTGAATAGGGCAGTAGTTCTGGGGGGGGCAGTCAGGGCAGCGGGAGGGGTTAGATAGGGGGTGAGGTCCCGGGAGAGGGTTAGGGGCAGGGGTCCTGGGAGGGGGCAGTCAGGGGATAAGGAGTGGGAGGGGGGTTGGATGGGTTGGGGGTTTTGAGGGGGTCAGGCATGGGGGGGAAGTGGGAGAGGGCGGATAGGGGGCGGGGCCAGGCTGTTTCGGGAGGCACAGCCTTCCTTACCCAGCCTTCCATACAGTTTTCATAAATTCATAGATATTAAGGTCAGAAGGGACCATTATGATCATCTAGTGTGACCTGCACAACGCAGGCCACAGAATCTCACACACCCACTCCTGTGAAAAACCTCTCACCTATGTCTGAGCTATTGAAGTCCTCAAATCATGGTTTAAAGACTTCAAGGAGCAGAGAATCCTCCAGCAAATGACCCATGCCCCATGCTGCAGAGGAAGGCAAAAAACCTTCAGGGCCTCTTCCAATCTGCCCTGGAGGAAAATTCCTTCCCGACCCCAAATATCGCTATTAGCTGAACCCTGAGCATATGGGCAAGATTCACCAGCCAGATACCCAGGAAAGAATTCTCTGTAGTAACTGGGATCGCACCCCATCCAACATCCCCGATGTATTGCACCCCGATGTGGCCCTCGGGCCAAAATGTTTGCCCACCCCTGCCCCATAACTATCTGTTTTAGTGGTTTCTACAGCACCTATTACAACAGTCCCCAAAATGCTCTCTGTCTCTGTTGGGTTAAATGTATACAGCATCTTTTACTTTCCATCCTATGCTCTAGTCTAGTGTTTACAGTACATTGTGAAAACGCTCAGCTGCATCTTAGATGAGGGCTAAGCAATTGCTGCTGGAATGATCAGTAATGTGGAGAAGTGCTTTGGGATCTCTTTAGCTGAAATGTACTATGGACATACATGATCATTATCATCTTCATTAACTACTTTGCAGGTTATTTTGTGCTCTGATGCCTATTTCTTGCACATGTGTAGCAGCTGATTTTATAAGCTTCATGTCATTGTGTACCTGTGTAGAGTATCTGCAATCAAGGTTGAGACTTTAGGTTTGTATCCAAAACTAAGGCAAAAACAAAACAAACAACCTCTCTTGGGCTGTCCAGCATTTTATCAGAGTAGTAAGTAGTATAAAATGAAGTTTGTTTTTATAAAATAAACTGTCACCACAGACTGTCCCCTTTTTCAAGAATGGTACCAATAATGGGAAGGGATGGCATCAGAAGTTTTCTATAATATTGAATGTTTGTTTGCTCAGGATTTTCTACTTGTAGCATTCTTTTTGCCAAGTTGAATCATTTTCTAATTGTCTCTTTCTGTTTGGAGAGCTATTGTTACTGTAGGACTGGATAATTGCTGTGTGTTACACAAATGCATATGAAATCCGTGCCCTGAAGGGCTTATCCAAAAGTCAGGGATTGTGGTTTAACTACTGCTGTACAACCAGCAGAGGGAGTGTTACACGCTTTTTTGTTTTGTTTGGTAAATTCTTGTTCAATTGAAGTGGATTGCAAAAAAAAAAAAATAGAGCAAACTAAACATTATCCACAAGTCTGCTGAGTTCTTTAGGCCAGAAATTTCACCTTGAAAACTACTACAATGTCTGTTTTAATTGTATTTAAATATTTGTCAGCTGAATTAGTTTTGGTGATGAGAAATCCTATACAATATAAAGTAATCTCTGTTTTAAACTTTGGTTCTGAAGCCAAGATGTCTCGGGAGACTGGAAATGAATCCCAGCAATCTCAAGGTGCCCAGCAGTCTCAGAGTGGTACAAGTTCTTCCTCCAGTGGATCACAGAGTGCCAGTCAGTCTTCTTCCAGTTCTGGGACCCTCAGTTCTTTAGACACAGTTCCTACTCAGGAACTTCCTTCAATTCCTGAGGATCAGGAACCTGAAGAAATTGTTCCTCAGCCATGGGGTCGACTCTTTGCACTTGGAAAGGGTTTCTGCAATTATGGTATGTATATACCATAGTGGGTTCTCTCAAGCCAATGTGTGTAATAGGACAAAAATCCTGAGGAAATTTAATAAAATGGAATATTTCGCTTTTGAATTAATGGTAAAGTATAATTGATGGTGTGATTGCAGCTTTTGTTTGGATTTTTGTAGGGAGTGTATATTTGGTAAGTAATGTTGCTGCCATAGGGAACAAAGATATACAGCATCTATCAATCTGGAGGAAGAATTCTTTCAAGAATTCTCCTTTACTGCCTCCCTATTTGCCTGGCTAAGATTTTGTACTATTGAATGTTAGTATAGCCATATATTTGTAGAATTTGACCCCAGAGCAGAATGAGACAAACTCTTTTAACTTGTCTCATTACTGAACCCAGGGTGGGAAAAAGAATAATGACATTTCAAAGAATAATTTGATGCCTAGGTGCATGCCATTTATCTGCTAGAACTAAAAAAAGATGTTTTAATCTGTGTGACTCAGTAGCAGTTTGTATGCTCTTCCTGGTCTTAGGCAGAGCAAGTCAAGTGCAGATCAACATACTTAGCTAGCAGACATACTGTGAGAGCAGTGCTTTTACCATGATCTCATGCCAGTCTGCTGTATTGATGTGGAGCAGATAGTCCTTAAAGCCACAGCAGGCTTCACTTGCTTGTTAGCGATCTGCCATTAGGTTTTTCTTCGTTAATAATGCACAATTATCTTATTTTTAAAATAGATAAATAGGAGAATAAATTTATAACCGTTCTGTCACAGTTCTATCAGGCAGTGTCTGCATTTTTCTTATGGTAACTGTGATTCCTCTTAAAAAGGGATATGAAAAATTACCATGTCTATTAGCTCAGAGTCGATACAAAAATATTTTCTTTTATATCAGAATCTAGCTAGGAGTTGTCTAATGAATTTGAAATTCTACCTCCCTTCTAGCTGCTGGAAGGGAAAAGGTGCATTCTGCTTCTAGTCTCCTTCCCAAAATCTCCTAGCTGTTGTTAAGGAGAAGGGTTTCCATTATTTTACACATTGTTCAGCTTCCTGGATGCTGTAGGGGGCAGGGGAATGGGTCTCTTACTGTCACTCTTCCCCAGCCTTCGATTTTTGAAACTTCTCTAGTGGATTGATCATTCCATTACAATACTAAATTTGAGTACCTCTACTATTGCTCAAAGTTCTCCCAAGCACCAGCAATCTAAAATTAATCTTATTCTAGACAATTTCACAGCTGTCCATCAGTGCAACTGACCAGAGCTGTGTTTATCTTACATTGCTGTTGCCTGACAAAGTTGTGAGCAACCGCAGAAGCCTTGGAGCTATCTGCAGAAATGGGGACATCATATAAAACTAGATTCATGTTTGAAAAACTATTATTACAGTTATAAGGGCTAGAAACTTAAAGGGACACCCTCAACGTAAAATGTAGTAAATCTTTTTAAAAAAAAAAACTAAATAGTTTCAAGCATTACAACTGACCCTGAGCCTCCCCGACCATTTGTTTTTTCTATTTTTTAAAAAAAACCTTTGCATCTTCCCTGTAGGTTGTGTGAAAGACTCACCGAAATTACTAAACTTTAAGCCCTGATCCTGCAAACAATTATGCACATGAGTGATCCCAATGTAGTTACTTACATAAGTAAAACTAAGTATGTTTGTAAGGATTGAAGCATTATTTGGGACTGTCTCATCCCTAGATTTTTGAGAACCTTTTAACTGCTACATCTAGACATTTTTTCTTGTTGCTGCAGTTTTGTTTATTACTAATCATTGCTCTAGATAGTAGTGTTTTGGTTCTTAAATTAGCTTTTCACCATTTAAAAATTAACTATGATTACACATAGTTTATTTTAAAGGGGTCTGGTTCTTTATGCGTATGCATGTGAATTCTGGTGTTGCTCAACCAGAATTTGTAGTTTTTGGAGTGAGACAGTTTTTATTTTGCTTCACATTTTCATTCTTATACATGAAATGTTAATGTGAGTCATGTTAAAAGGGACAGAAGTGGGGGCGGGAAACAACTGTCTTTTATCTTTATTTAGAAATAAAGAAGTAGCATAGGGTTCAGGCAGTGTCTGATGAATCTTGCTTTGTCTCCTTTTCCAAGTGCTATAATTTGGTACCATTTTGCAGTGGTAGGTCTAATTTACTGGAATTTTGTGTTCTCTCTCTCTCCCTCTTCCTCCCTCCCTCCTTGTCCCCCCAATCCCAGACTGCGTGAATGACGAGTGTTGGTTTGGCAGAGACAGAAGCTGTGATTATAGCTTTGCTAAGCTAGGGTTGACCGAGACAGGCTTATACCAAAACTACAGCAAGAAGCACTTCCGAATCTTCAGGGTAGGTGCTAAAAAGGCCGTTTACCCCTTTCCCCCTGTCCTGTAAAGAAGGAAACTGGATTAACTGAAAAATTCTAAATCAAAGCTTCACTGCTTTTCAGACAAGGTGGATTGATTTAAATCAGCAACCAGGAAGCCTTGATTTAAATAATAAATTAGGATCTTACTTTGCATATACAGTTTTTAGTTATTTTCTTAAAGACAAGTTGGTTCTCATTGGTTGGTAACCATTAAAACATACTGATTAGCAATTAAATATAGCTTTTACACTAAATGTAGTACCAGGAGGAGGTACTATATTTATCCACATTTATTTAGACAGTTATATAGTGTAACATACATTTATTTGTGTTCTTAATTTTTACATTTTTTTATTCTGTTAGAAATGGTGAATGGCACATTTCTTATTAGTAGGTGATTTTAATTTTTATTTGTGATTCGTGTCAAGCTCTATTTGGATGGAAACTGGAATTCAGTTAAAAATGAGCAAAACCAGCATAACTAATTTACAGGTCTTAAACTGTAACTGTAAATGGAGAATAGTAATTGAGTGGGGTGTTTCCAGTGGGGTCCCACATGGATCAGTTATTGGTCCTACGCTGTGTAATAACCTAGAAGCAAACATAAAATAGTCACTGGTAAAGTTTGCAGATGAGACAAAAGTTGGGAGAGGTAGTGAAGCAGACAGACAGGTCACTGATTCAGAGTGACCGAGATCTCTTGGTAAACTGGGAGCAAGAAAACATCTAGAAACAAAGAATGTAGGCCATACTTACAGTGTGTGGGCCTTTATCCTGAGAATCAGTGACTCTGAAAAAGATTTGAGCGATGTGATGGATAATTAGCTGTATGTGAGCTCCCAATATGAATACTGCGGCCAAAAGAACTAACGGTGTCCTAGGATGCATAAACAGGGGTATCTTGAGTAGGAGTAGAGAGGTTATTTTACCTCTGTATTTGGCATTGGTGTTACTGCTGCTGAAATACTGTGTCCAGTTCGGGTGCCCACAATTCAAGAAGGATGCTGATAAATTGCAGAGGGTTCAAGGAAGAGCCATGAGACGGATGAAAAGAGTGCAATCTCTTAAGCTTAACAAAGAGAAGATTAAGGGATGACTTGAAAAATATATAAGTACCTGATGGGTTCTTCAATCTAGCAGAGAAAGGTGTAACATGATCCAGTGGCTGGAAGCTAAAGCGACTCAAATTCAGACTAGAAATAAGGTGTAAATTTTTAACAGTGAGAATAATTAATGATTGGAACAATTTACCCAGGATTGGGGCTGATTCTTCATCACTGAGAATTTTATATCAAGATTGGATGATTTCCTGAAAGATACATTATTTTAGAGAAGCTCTATGCTCTGTGTTGTACAAGAGGTCAGACTAGATGATTATAAGGGTCCCTTCTTGCCACAGAATCTATGAATGTTTTTTATTGGTTAAATAAAACTACCTTAAATGTGCTCGATACACAAGAAGATGTAAAAGGTGTCAAAACATGTTTGGCATTTAGAAGCAACTGATTTATTAAATAAAAGAAGTATATATAGTTAATGAATCTGTGATGGTTTCTGGTCACTATGTATTTCAAGATTTTAGAACGATTAGATTTCATCCCCTCACTTTATTTAATTTATTTATTTAAAGGTGCCACAAGTACTCCTTTTCTTTTTGCGAATACAGACTAACACGGCTGTTCCTCTGAAATCCCCTCACTTAGTTTTTATACATAGATTGGAAGAGGAAAACAAGCTTTCCTGCTTTTTCAACTCCCAGTCACTTTCTTATCTTTGAATGAACTAGTCATTGATCTGAATAAGTTGAAAAAACTGAAATGAAGAAAATATCCTCTCTGCACATGTAGAAGAGGCTACTTTAGCACTTCAGAAAATTCTGGTTTCAGATGCTTAGCCAGTGACTTTTAGCAGTTCAGAGATTTGACTTTCTATAAAACTTTGGGAGTAAACATGTACTGCTTAATATTTTTTCATTTAATTTACATGATTTTAATAGATTATAGTAAATGTAGGCCTTAACGTCGGTTGTCATAATTTAAAATTTAGTTTTAAATAGGTTTATTTTTTAAAAAGAATGTAGTTAATTTAAATAAAAATTGGTTGTTTTTTTTCTTTTTTTAAAAATCACTGATTTTTATCCACCCTGTTTTCAAAGACTTGAGTCATAGAGTTTAAGGCTAGAAGGGACCACTAGGTTATTTAGTCCGACCACCTGTACATCAGAGACCACTGGTAGCACTCAGCATCCACATATTGAATTCAACAACCAAAATTAGACCAAACTGTTACAGCCTCCAGGAGACTAAACTGTTATGTGCCAAATGCAGAGACTAGGGATGCCACAGGTCTCAAACACAGGACCGTGGGGCTGCTGAAAGCATGATTTTTTTCCTCTACATCACTGAGCTGCAAGGGGAGATGAGGGAACTGCTGCTAAAACCCCACCACCAAAAGTTACACCCACTGAGTGCACAGGGACAGATGACTAACAGAACATTGCTGATTGGATACCACTCGCAATAAAGTTTGCTCTTCCTGTCCCATCTCTTGTCTGAGCAACATGCCTACTGACTAGTTTCCAGGCCTGTTGCTACGCAGATCTCTGAGACCAAGTCTCTGCTTCCTTACCTGGTTTCTACTCCTTATTCCTGCTACCATGCCTCATCCCTGCTACTACCGTGTCTCCTCCCTGCTCTTGTTACCAGATCTGGTTCTTGATTCCTACTTCCTCACTCAGACCCCGGTTGCTGACTCCAGCTTTGACCCTTGGCATAACGTTTGGCTCTGACTCTGGCTTGACCCTTGGTGTGACCATAGTTTACTCCTGGCTCCAACCACTAGGTCAGAGAGCCCACATTAAGGGCCCTGACAAAGAGGGACTGTAGTGCAACAGTAATGAGGCTGTTGCAACAGCAATGATTAAATGAGCTGTATAACCACCATTCACACATACTGCAGAGGAAGGCAAAATATCCTCAGGGTCACTCCCAGTCTGACCTGGGGGAAAATTCCTTCCCTGGCCCCACATGTGGCGATAAGTTAGACCCTGAGCATGTGAGCAAGAACCAGCCAGCTAAGCAACTGAGAGAGAGAGAATGCTTGGTTCCACTTCAGAGCCTGGCCTACCCCGCTAAGTGTCCCATCTCCAGCCATATCCATCTCAGAGGCTTCAGAGGAAGGAAATTAATAAAAAAACAACAACAAACCCTCCCAGGATATCATCCCAGTAGCTCTTCTCTGGACCTTTCCTAGTTGAATCTTTCTTGAACATGGGTGACCAAATGAGGTCTTACCAATGTCTTGTACAGTGGTACTAATACTTCTCTCTCTCTCTACTGGAAATACCTCACCTAATAAATTGTAGGATCACATTTGCCTTATTCACAGCTGGTAGCAGTTCATAGTTATCCTGTGATCGACCCACACACCCAGGTTTCTCTCCTCTCTCACTTCCAATTTAGGAGCTCCCAATTTATTGCAGAAATTCTCATTATTAGACTCTAAGTGCATGACCTTGCACTTTGTAGTATTTGAATTTTATTCCATTCCTGTCACTCCAGTCTTCAAGGTCAGTCAGATCTTCCTGTATAATAATCTGATCCTCATCTGTATTGACAATGCCTCCCAATTTTGTATTATCATCATATTTAATTAGCACACTCTTACTTTTTGTGCCAAGGTGTTTATTAAAGATATTGAATAACATTGGTCCCAAGATCAGTCCTTCAGGAACTTCGCTATTAACCTCTTTCCAGTCCAGTAATTTACCTTTCAGAACAACCCAATGTCTTCTCCCCTTTAGCCACTTCCTTATCCATCGTATAATGCTTATACTGATCCCCATCTTCCCTAATTTAAGTATTAATTGCCCATGTGGTACTGTGTCAAATGCTTTAGTGAAGTCTACGTATGTTAAATCTACTGCATTTACCTTATCTAAAAATTCAGTTATTTTCTCAAAGGAGGAAATTAGTTAATCTGGCATGATCTACCTTTGTTTAATCCATTTTGCGTTACATCCCCATTACATTTACTTCTACGAATTTAATGATCCTTTCCTTCACAATTTGCTCTAAAATCTTGCAAACCACAGGTCAGACTAACTGGTCTGTAACTGGCCGAATCACAATTTTTTTTTTTGGCCTTTTCTCACATATAGCCTGACATTAGCTATTCTCCAGTCATATGGTACTACCCCCTGAATAGATAGATTTATTAAAAATCCTTACTACTGGACTTGACATCTCATATGCCAGGTCTTTCAGTATTCTGGGATGTAAATTATCCAGTCCCTCTGATTTGAGCACAAGTTTTTCTTCCACATCAGATGTGGTAATTTCCATTTCTAGTCACTCATTTCCATCAGCCATACTGCCTTCATGCCCATTCTATATTCTCATTGGTTTCAGAGTAACAGCCGCGTTAGTCTGTATTCGCAAAAAGAAAAGGAGTACTTGTGGCACCTTAGAGACTAACCAATTTGTTTGAGCATGAGCTTTCGTGAGCTACGAAAAGCTCATGCTCACGAAAGCTCATGCTCAAATAAATTGGTTAGTCTCTAAGGTGCCACAAGTACTCCTTTTCTTTTTATATTATCATTGTTATGGAGAGCTGAGGTAAAATATTCATTTAGTTTTTTGGTCATACCTAAATGATCTTTTAATCTCCTTCCCATCCACACTGCATAGCAGCCCAACTTCATTCATCCTTAATGTCTTTTTAGTTATATAACTAAAAAACCTCTTTATTATTTATTTTAATTTCCTTGGCAAGAGCTAATTCAGCCTGACTTTTAGCAATTCTCATTTTATTCCATTTTCTGACCTCCATGATGTAGCTTTCTTTACTAATCAACTCCATTCTTCATTCTCTATATGCTCTCTGCTTATTCCTAATAACCTTTTTAGGTAGATATTCATCCAGCTGGGTCTGAGTCTTTCCCTACAAGTATTTTCCCCTTTCTTGGGAAATTTCAAATAGTTTTTGTCTAGTTGATTTGAAGAAATTCCAAGCCGCCTCCTGCATTTTTAAGTCTTTGAGCTCTTTGGTCCAGCTGACTTCTTAAACTAGTTCCCTTAATTTCCCAAACCTTGCCCTTTTGAAATCAAAAACCATAGTTGATGATCTGGTTTTTGATTATCCTTCTATTTAATTTAAACTGAATCAGCTTGTGATCACACGATCCAAGGTTATTTCCTACGATCAGCTCTTCTATGATGTCATAGAATCATAGAATATCAGGGTTGGAAGGGACCCCTGAAGGTCATCTAGTCCAACCCCCTGCTTGAAGCAGGACCAATTCCCAGTTAAATCATCCCAGCCAGGGCTTTGTCAAGCCCGACCTTAAAAACCTCTAAGGAAGGAGATTCTACCACCTCCCTAGGTAACGCATTCCAGTGTTTCACCACCCTCTTAGTGAAAAAGTTTTTCCTAATATCCAATCTAAACCTCCCCCACTGCAACTTGAGACCATTACTCCTCGTTCTGTCATCTGCTACCATTGAGAACAGTCTAGAGCCATCCTCTTTGGAACCCCCTTTCAGGTAGTTGAAAGCAGCTATCAAATCCCCCCTCATTCTTCTCTTCTGCAGGCTAAACAATCCCAGCTCCCTCAGCCTCTCCTCATAAGTCATGTGTTCCAGACCCCTAATCATTTTTGTTGCCCTTCGCTGGACTCTCTCCAATTTATCCACATCCTTCTTGTAGTGTGGGGCCCAAAACTGGACACAGTACTCCAGATGAGGCCTCATCAACGTCGAATAGAGGGGAACGATCACGTCCCTCGATCTGCTCGCTATGCCCCTACTTATACATCCCAAAATGCCATTGGCCTTCTTGGCAACAAGGGCACACTGCTGACTCATATCCAGCTTCTCGTCCACTGTCACCCCTAGGTCCTTTTCCGCAGAACTGCTGCCTAGCCATTCGGCCCCTAGTCTGTAGCGGTGCATTGGATTCTTCCGTCCTAAGTGCAGGACCCTGCACTTATCCTTGTTGAACCTCATCAGATTTCTTTTGGCCCAATCCTCCAATTTGTCTAGGTCCTTCTGTATCCTATCCCTCCCCTCCAGCGTATCTACCACTCCTCCCAGTTTAGTATCATCCGCAAATTTGCTGAGAGTGGAATCCACACCATCCTCCAGATCATTTATGAAGATATTGAACAAAACCGGCCCCAGGACCGACCCTTGGGGCACTCCACTTGATACCGGCTGCCAACTAGACATGGAGCCATTGATCACTACCCGTTGAGCCCGACAATCTAGCCAATTTTCTACCCACCTTATAGTGCATTCATCCAGCCCATACTTCCATACTTCCTTATGTCCTTACTACTTACTAAAATCTAGTCTTAAATTGTTGGTTCCATGACAATTTGGTGAAGAAAACTGGCATCTGTCACACCCAGGAATAATTGGGCCCCAACAGTATTAATAGCATTTATTCTCTATCTGTATCCGGGAGGTTAGTCTCCCATTATGCCACAATTCCCAACAGTATTTATCTCTCTAATAATATTAAAGAGATAATTATCTGTGTCTGAGTCTGACCTGGGGATCTCTTGTTTTGATTTTAAGGGCTAAAAGAGTTAAAGATGTTTAGCTTTTTTATTGTGGAACATTAACATTAAAACAGTGACTCTTAGTTGTTTTTGTTTTTTAACAGAGGCCTTGGTGTTACTTGGTTTCTTGGCAAACACTTAAAAGTATTAATTTTAAAACTGAAAGTTTATTGATTTAAACACAGAAAAAACTAAGAAATTAAAATGTGCATTTATATTGAAACTGAAATTGAATGATTATGCAAAACAAACTTAATTTTTTTACAAAATATGATTTTTTAATATTTATTTAACCCTTTTCCATCAAAAAAGGGTAATTTTACTTTCAGTTATGTTGTGTGAAGAGTATTTACTTCTCCTGTTTCTAAGAAATAGACACAAGGTGGTGGGGAGAGAGATGATAGAAAAGGTGGGGGAAATTCATTTTTGTTGATGTTTTTGGAACACTTATGAATGAATGCTTTGTTTGGCAGGTTGACCATGACACCTGTTTCTTGGATCCTAGTTCACATTCTGGTCATGAACATCATCTGATTGGGTTTTTCTCCTTAGGGCAGGATTGTGGTCATTTCAACTGCCTGTGCTGATGCAGTGCAGCTGATTTCAGGATTTGATGAAAAGCCAAGAGAATGAGAGATAGGATAGGAGGAAGGAAAGGGGACAAAGTAACACAAAAGGAAAGGAGGCGGAACAGAATCTTGCATGCCTCTGCGGTTTTGGCAATTAGGTATCCACACAGATAGGCTGAGGGCTGGATGTCATGATGATATCATGATTTTTAGGACTTTCAAGTGAAAAACAAAAGTTCCTTGAGCAAGGCCTAATGGCCTTCCTCTCATGCTGAGTCTTTCTGTCTGGTCTGCTCCTTCTGTCTTGGGGTCAGAGAAGATGAGATGAGTGGGAATGCAAGGTGGGACAGGAGAGTGATTTCTCCCCTCCCCCAAAGTCTCTTTTAAGAACTCCCAAAGGGGGAAAAGTGGGCTTCATAGTTCATCCCCCTTATTATTTTGTTCACCAGCTAGGCCTAATATTTGCCACACTAATTTTAGTTAGTTCATTTATGGCTTTACATTTTTTTTTTTTTTTTTTACTAAACATGATTTTAACAGTTTTTAAACTATATTAGTAGGCCTTTTTTTTGTTTGGACGAATTTAGTTTTTGTATATTTTTTTGCACTTATTCATAACAATTATTATTAAAAACAACTTGACCTATTTTCTTTTAACATTTGTTGTTATAGGTTGTAACATTTGGTGAACTTTCACTTACTTTTTACTGTTGAACTTAAAGTAAATTTTTAGGCCCAATAATCACATCAGATCTATAGCAGGTCCCTAACACTATCCCCACAGAACCTCTTTTACAATCCTTCCCCAAAGTGATTTTGACACAAACAGGTTCTGTTTTGTCTGTAGCATAGCTTTGTATTTCTTTCCAATTTACTGCATCGTTGATGTACAACACTGCCCCTGCACCTTTACCTTTATTCCTGTCTCTTCTAAACAGCAGATACCTTTCAATAACTATATACCAGTAATGAGTGCTATTCCACCATGTTTCTATGATCCCTATAATGTCTTGTTTGACCTCCTGCACCACTAGTTCCAGTTCCTCCATTTTATTGCCTAGACTCTTTTCATTTGTGTACAAGCATTTCAGTTGTTTCCCCCAGGCCTCTCCACTTATCAGTCATGACAGCCTTGGTGCCAGAAGATAAATATCCTAGGTACTTGACTGGAGATCATCTGTTGAGAAAAGTCTCCTTTCCCTAGATGCCTCCCAATGGTTAATCATCCCAAAACCTGCCTTGTAGCTCCAATCCTTGAGCCCTCAGTTGAACTTCATTATGTTGTCATGCCATCACCCTCCTTCCTCCTCTAGGGACGAAAAGTATTCCACGGAAAATCATCTGAGCTTCCACGTCTGTAAATGTCTTAGCCAGCTGAGTGTAGTCATCCTTGATCCAGTCCGATGGAAATCTAGCAGTGTCATTCATCCTGACATGCAGAACAGTCATTGGATTTTTCCCTGCTCCCTTGAGGTCCTCTCCAGTCTCGCATCCACTCTTGTATCCTTGCTTCTGCCAGACAGCACACTCTTCTGTTCTCTCGATCTGGTCTGGTGACAGGCCTGTCAGTTCTTCTGAGTATGGAGTCCCTGATCATGTAGACAATCCTGGTGTTGATATGAATCTGTTTTATGTTCTCTCTCGCAGTCCCATGTACATCATCTTCACTTTTCCTTAGGCTACAGTCCTTGGCTGTCTCCATCATCTCTTCCTCTCTTCTGCAGGGACTGGCTTCCTTTCTTTTTTTCTTCACCACCAGTTAACAGTGTTGCTAAATACATTGTTCAAAACCATTTTCATGATGTATTATTTCCTGAATTAAGGAAAATAAATTGTGTTAAACTCCGATACGGTTCATTACAGCTTCTTGATAAAAGCCATCTTTCTGTATTGTTACCTTCTTTTTTTTTTTTTTAGGAAATGGGACCAAGAAACTCCTATGTTGCCTACATTGAGGACCACAGTGCAAATGGGACTTTTCTAAATAAAGAGCTTATTGGGAAAGGGAAAAGGCTCCCATTGACTCACAATTCTGAAATTGCACTGTCTGTACAGACTAACAAAGGTAAAATAAAGTACAAAGATAACTTGATTTTAAATAGCATCTTTCTTAAAATTGTGCTCCTTCTAAATGCTTTAGAGAGAAAATAATAGATGGAAACCGTGGATAAAGGTAATATTTTCTATTTTCCCACTACTTTTTATACACAAAATCTTGAAGATTGTCTTACACACCTGAAATTAGTAAATTTTAAAAAGGGAGTTAAAAGTATTTGCAGGTACTACATTTGATCCTGGGTCCCACCGCCAAAGTTTGTGCTTTTAAAATCACATTTTAAAAAATGCTTTTCTCTCACAGTTGTTAAACAGGGAAAACTGATTTACTATACAGGAGAAGTTGTGAATATGTCTGTGCACATGGCAGCATCTTATGTACGAAGGAAACAAACTGAAAAATTAAAGTGAGGATTTTTGTTGTAGCAGTACCATGAATGCATGATTCACACTCTTGGGTTTTAGATCTGTAGCATGAGACTGACGGGTCTCTCCTTGTATTTTTACTCTTGAGTACAGTGGTAATAGATTATGAAGAAGTGTTGGGATTTGTCATGCTGGAGAATTGTTGTGGAGCAGCTGACATTGAAGATGTTACTATTACGGAAGTTCTCTTTCAATAATGAGATCACCTTGTTAATCAAAAGTATTCTTTCGAGTGTTTGCATTTGTCCATTTTACTGTAGGTGTGTGCGCGCCCCATGTACAGGAGTTGGTGATATTTTTTCCTCAGTAGTACCCGTTGGGATGGCTAGTGTGCCCTCAGTCTCCACACACCACTGCCTGCTGGTATAAGAGGGTGGAACCACCATGACTTCCCGTCCAGTTCCTTGCCACCAGTGATGGTGATTCAGACTGGTTAACTTAAGTGCTTTCCTCACGCCTTTTCTGTATATAGATCGGGGTGGGCAAACTTTTTGGCCCAAGGGCCACTTTAGGGTTGCAAAACTATATGGAGGGCTGGGTAGGGAAGGCTGTGCCTCCTCAAACAGCCTGGCCCCCACCCCTTATCTGCCCCCTTCCACTTCCCGCCACCTGAATGCCCCCCTCAGAATCCCTGACCAATCGAACCCCCCCGCTCCTTGTCCCCTGACTACCCCCTTCTGGGACACCCGCCCCTACTGCCCCCTGGGACCCCACCCTCTATCCAAGCCCCTCTTCTTCCTGTCCCCTATCCACACCCCCGACCCCTGACTGCCCCCCCTGCTCCCTGATGGCCCTCCGAACCATCCAACTGTCCCCTGACTGCCGCCCCGGGACTCCCCGCTCCCTGCCCCCTTACCATGCTGGAGCCAACCACACCACCGCGCTGCCCGGCAAGAGCCGCAGGTAACAGTGGTGGGCCAGAGTGCTGGCGGCAAGGCGTGCTGAGGCTTTGGGGGAGGGAGAACAGCGAGGGAGGGCCGGGGACTAGCCTCGCCAGCTGGGAGCTCAGGGCTGGGCAGGATGGTCCCGCGGGCCATAGTTTGCCCTCCTCTGATATAGATCCTGTTTACTAATTTGTCAATTATAGTTAGTGTAAGACAATTTTTAGTACTAGGTTGCTGCTTTTGGTCTCTCTTGACACTTTCTATCTTGTGATACAGCTACTGGAATGATGCGGTGTTCACCAGGTTTTAAGTCATGCTGCACCTCTGTGAAACCCATGTCAGTCAGTGACCCACACCTGACTTGTTAGAAATGTTTGGGGGAATCCCATGCTCGTGACAATGTCACATCTGCAAAGGGTTCAAGCTCCGCTTGAAAAAAGATAAAGTGACGAGGCTTAAGTGCTTGCTTATGGATGCAGCACTTTGACCCCTATCAGAGTCATCACATGGGGTGAGTGCCCCATATACATTTACTTCAGTCTGGAGCATTTTGCTGGAGATGTCTGCGGCTCCTTGGGATTGTTCCCGAGTACCAAAGGAAATGCTTAGGCCTTCTTCTGGTTTGGTGCCTTGCTTGCCTGTGTCGGTACCCTGACGGAACCAGATACCAGAAGAAGTGTTTGGGGGATAAATCCCCTCCAGAAATGCTTAATGCTTCTGAAGAGGGGATTGCTGCCTCTGAAGCCTGTGCCAGACATTTCTCCTGAAAGACATTTATGGCTCCAACAGAAGGTGCCGATCGCAGCAACCCTGGAGGCGTATGCAGCCACAAGAGACTTGCTTAGCTTCTTGGTACTGCCTGTGGTTCATACCTTGCCTCATTGAGATCATGTGGTGCTGCTACCCAAGCCTCCACAGAAATCCGTGTTGTCTAGAGAAAAGCCTCCCATGAGTTCCCTGGTACTGCTGTCCTTGGGCTCAGACTACGTTTTACTAGTCCATTCTGGATTTGCACCTCCACTGTCAGAAGCATCTGACTCTTTTCCTTGGACTCAGAGGTGAGGCCCTCTGTATCCCACCCAGGATGGGGAACATACCTCTCATCAGAGTCGTTGGGACCATGGGCCATGCACTGGGATCCTTCTAAGGGTCAATGGCCCGGGCAAGGATGGGACTTGGGCCCGTATCGATGGTCATTCTGGACACCCTGGGGTGTCCCCCCAGCTAGAACCTCCCGTGAAGCATCTTGCTCACTGACATGGAGAGTGCACCACAAGAAATTGGTACCATTTCCTGGTACCAAGCAGCCAGAAGCCACTCAGGCACCCCCCTGCCACTAGTCACAGACCAACCACCACCTCAGATGTCTGTTTCATCCTTGTCACCTGACGAGGCTGTTGAGTGGTTAAGTGACACTGCCAAAGGACCACAGAGCTCATCAAGATCTTTTAAAAATAGCAACCTCTGTACTTGACATTCAGGCAGAAGAGGTGCGTGAAAGCTCTCACAAGTTGTTGGACATCCTGGTATCAGCGACAGCATCACGGTGCAGCTATGACACCATCATGTTGCCAGTCAAGGCCCTTAGGCAGGCCCCCTCCTCCTGGAACCTCACAGCAAAATGAGCTGAGAGGATGTGCTTTGTCTCCTGTAAGGGGTATGAACATTTTTATTCTCATCCCCACTCAGTGTTCTCTTGTGGCAGCTGCCAATGAGTGGGATAGAGAGGGACAAAAAGCTTTTGTGCCATAAAGGAAAGACTCAAAGAAGCTGGATCTGTTTGGTCGCAAATTTTATTCTTCAGGAAGCCTGCAACTCAGGATTGCAAATCAACAAACTCTGAGTCAACATGACTTCGCCCTCTAGAGAAAATGATGAAATTTAAAGACAAACTATTTGAGGACTGCAGACAAGAGTTTGCAATAATGGCTGAAGAGAGTACTGGTGGCTAGGACTGCCCTGCAGGACAGTTGGGATCGCGCAGACTCAGCTGCTCGAATCATGGTGTTGGCTGTCGCTGTAAAAAGGTGTTTGTGGTTCCAGTTGTCTGGGCTATCTCTAGACTATCCAGTACTGTACCTTTGAAGGTCCCTCCTATCTTTTCAGAGAAAACAGACAACAGGCTTCATAACCTTAAGGATTCCAGGGCAACATTCAATCTCTTGGAGTCTATACTCAGGCAGCAAAAAGAAAGCAGTGTCGCCCACAGTAGCTATACAGAGTGCAGGGGTTTGCTCCCCAATCCCAAGATCCACGAAGGAAAAAGGACAGAAGTTATAAGAGACACCCTCCACCACTCTCTTCTTCAGCATCAGTGGGCTTATCTCATCCAGCTGTCTCACCCAGTCATTTTGATGGGTTTGTCAAGGACAGTGTACCTGTTACCATAGCCCCATCTGTTGCCCATTGTTTGATACTAATCGCTTATCCCACTAAGTGCTTGGGTTCACATATGTAAGACCTACCAGTCTGAAAGTCTGGTGGAACTGTGGTATGCCATCCAGTTCAGTTCTACCCCCTTCCCACCCTCTTCCTATCCCTCTTCAGGGACCATTCTCATGAGATTGCCCTTCAACAGGGTGTCTAGTCTCTTCAGGCAGGGGCCATAGAGGAAGTGCCATTGTACTTCAGGGGTAAGGGTTTCTATTACTGCTACTTCCTGATCCACTAGACAAAAAGGGTCTCAGGCCTATTTTAGACCTAAGGGAGTTGAACAAATTCCTGAAGAAAATAAAATTCCGCATGGTTACCCTAGCTTAAATTATTCCTTCCCTGGAGCGGCGGGACTGGTGCACTGCCTTCAACTTACTTAAAGGATGTTTATTTCCATGTCACAATATGCCACCACCACGAGAATTATCTCAGATTCATGGGGAATGGCTGCTATTATCAGTTCACAGTGCTTCCATTAGGTCTGTCAACTGCTCCTCGAATGTTCACGAAGTACATGGGAGTCATAGCAGCTCACCTGTGAAACTTAGGTGTCCATGTGTACCCATGGTTGGACAACTGGTTGATCGGAGGTCAGTCTGAGGCTAAAGTCCTTTCCAGCATATCAACTATCCTGTCCATGTTCGATGCACTGGGCTCCTAGTAAATCGAGACAAATCAGTCCTAAAACTGGAACAGACAATAAAATTCATTGGAGAAGTCTTAGGCCCCGTCTACACTGGCAAGTTTCTGCGCGGTAAAGCGGCTTTCTGTGCTGTAACTCCCGAGGTGTACACACTGCCAAGCCATTTAGTGCGCAGAAACTGCGCAGTTGTGCTCTTAAAAAACCCAATGAGAGGCGTAGAGCTTTCTGCACTGGGGCTACAGCGCTGCAATGCCAGTGTAAACACGGTGGTCAATTTACAGCGCTGCGATTGGCCTCCGGGAGGTGTTCCACAATGCCTGTTCTCACCTCTCTGGTTATCTGTTTGAACTCTACTGCCCTGCCCTCAGGTGACCAACCGTCATCCCCACTCTGTACATTCCTTTGCAAATTTGAAAGTCCCCTTCCTGTTTGTTTGGTGATGTGTGCAGTGGTCTCCGCACATCTTTCCAGGTGGCCATTCCTCCTCCACGCACCAGGTGATCCCCCGCTTGGAGCAATGCTGAGCTGCTGGACCTCATCGGCATTTAGGGAGAGGAAGCTGTGCAGTCCCAGCTGCGCTCCAGCCGTAGGAATTATGATACCTACAGACAGATTTCACGATGC